TGGTCTCGAACTCCTGATCTCAGGTGATCCGCCCGCCTCGGCCTCCCAAAGTGCTGGGACTACAGGCGTGAGCCACCGCGCCCGGCCTCGCCCTTCCTGAAGGCTCGGCCTCCCCGCCGCCTAAGTTCGCCTCTCCTGAGGGATCCAGCTTCCCCGCCGCCAGGGTTCGCCCTTCCTCAGGGCTCGGTCTCTTCGCCGCCTAAGTTCGCCCCTCCCGGGCACCCACCTGGTCGCCTCTGCCGCCCGCCTTCGCGCCTCCTGGGCACCTACTTGGCCGCCTCTGCCGCCCGCCTTCGCCCCTCCCGGCACCCACCTGGCCGCCTCTGCCGCCGCCCCGCCTCGCAGCCGCCGCGGAAGGACACGGTCGCGGAGGACGCCTCACACGCAAGCCCGACCGCACCCACGGACCGGACCTACTTTCCTTAAAGGGCCCGGGGCTCCGCGCAGAAGCGGCCTGTAGGGGTCTCCCGTCCTCGGCCTGGCGGGCTATAAGGGGCCCGGGCGGCGAAGGCGCACGGAGCCAAGTTCCAGGCAGCAGCCCTGGGACGCCCTGACAGGGCCGGGCCAAGCCGGGCCGGGCAGGGCGGAGGTCTCCGTTGCCTAGCAACCGGGGCTGCGGCCTGTGGGCGGAGCCTGTACCGTCGCCGGGACACGGGGCGGGGCCTCAGCGGGAGCTGGCCGAGGAGCCGGCACGGGCCATTGGCGCATGCGTAGGGCGCGGCCTGGAGGCGGGGCCCACCTAGCGGCGAAGTCTCCTAAGGGGCGGATCGTGGGCGGGGCCTGGAGGCGGAACCGGCGCCGTCAGTAGTCCGCTGAGGACGGAGGCGGGGCTGGGCCCGGGAGGGGGCGGGGCCTGCGCCGGTGGGGTGGGCGGGGTAGGAGGCGCGGCCTAGTGCCCGAGTGGGGGCCGTTGGTTGGTGCGCGGCTGAGAGGTGTGGCGCGAGCAGCGCCGTTGGTTGGCCGGCGGCGGGCCGGGACGGGCATGGCCCTGCTGCTGTGCCTGGTGGGCGTGACGGCGGCGCTGGCCCACGGCTGTCTGCACTGCCACAGCAAGTTCTCTGAGAAGTTCTCCTTCTACCGCCACCATGTGAACCTCAAGTCCTGGTGGGTGGGCGACATCCCCGTGTCAGGGGCGCTGCTCACCGACTGGAGCGACGACACGATGAAGGAGCTGCACCTGGCCATCCCCGCCGAGATCAGTGAGTGCCGGAGCCCAGCCCAGTCCCGACTACCCCCCAGCGAGACCCCCGGGCAGGCCGGTCACCTGGCTGCTTCTCCTGCCCGCAGCCCGGGAGAAGCTGGACCAAGTGGCGACAGCAGTGTACCAGAGAATGGATCAGCTGTACCAGGGGAAGATGTACTTCCCGGGTAAGGGGCGCGAAACCGAGGCGGGGCCTGCCCACCCCAGGACACCCAGCCCACCGCCTGAGCCTGACCTTCTCCTGCCTGGACTCCTCAGGGTATTTCCCCAACGAGCTGCGCAACATCTTCCGGGAGCAGGTGCACCTCATCCAGAACGCCATCATTGAAAGTGAGCAAATAAGGCTTCAGGGGAGGGAGGTGTTGACCAGAGCCTCGGAGACCCACGGGGCTTGGCTGAGGCTGGAGCGATGTGAACAGGGCACCTGGCACCGGGCAGCTGGGGAGGAGGGCAGCTCCCCAGGGAGGGACCCAGCCCAGCCCCTGAAGGATCAATGCCATCACCCCGCGGGACCTCCCCTAAGTAGCCCCCAGAGGCGCTGGGAGCATTGCCACACCCTCCCCTGAAGTTTGCTCCATCCCACGCTGGGGGTCACCTTGGGGACCCCTTCCCTCCGGGCCATGGACACACATACATGAAAACCACGCGAGCCTGGGCCCGTGTCGAGGGACAGGCCCCGAGGCTTTGACGGATTGGGAGGAGGCAGGACTGGGGACAAGGCTGGGCCTGGTAAGACGGCGCTGTCCTGCCTTCCCACAGGTCGCCTCGACTGTCAGCGCCACTGTGGTAAGCGAGGCTCTGTCCAGGCTGAGGAGCGCGCTGGCGGCAGCTTGGGGCCCTGGAGGCCGAGGGGAGCCCTGGCAGCTGTCGTGTGTTTCAGGCATCTTCCAGTACGAGACCATCTCCTGCAACAACTGCACAGACTCGCACGTCGCCTGCTTTGGCTATAACTGCGAGTAGGGCTCAGGCATCACACCCACCCGTGCCAGGGCCCTGCTGTCCCTGGGGTCCCAGGCTCTCCTTGGAGGGGGTTCCCCACCTTCCACCTGGCCCTCGTCATCGGGGTAGGGTGGGTCCGGGGGTTCAGGGGCACACCACTTCCAAGCCCATGTCCCATAGGTCCTCGGAGCAGTGGGAGTCAGCTGTCCAGGGCCTGCTGAACTACATGTGAGTGGGGTCTTGGGGCAGCAGCAAGCTCACCTGGGCCTGGGAGGGAACACTGGCCGTGGCCACTTGGCCTCCTGAGTCCAAACCCACTGTCCTTGTAGAAATAACTGGCACAAGTAAGTCCCCTCCTCAAACTGACACAGGCAGTGCGCATGTGTGAGCACCTCGTGGGTGAGTATGTGTGGGGCACAGGCTGGCTCCCTCAGCTCCCATGTCCAACCCAGCTCTGCGCAGGAGGTGGCCACAGTCCCTTTCACCCTCAAAGGTCTCTGACCCTTAGCTGGAGGGGGGCATCCTGCTTAAAGGGTCCCCATAGGGTCTGGTTCCACCCCTGCCCCAGGTCTGTGGTCAGAGCCTGGGAGGGTTCCCTGTGATGGTTAGGGGTGCCCCATGGAGGAGCTGACTGCCCCATATTGCCTTTCAGACAGGACGTGAGCATGAGGTAAGGCTAATTGACCTGGCCTTCAGGGGAAGGGAGTAAAGGAAGGGGGGGGACTGGGGGTCCTCTAGGTCAGTGGGGGCACCGCAGGTGGGGCTCTCCCTATACCTGGGACACCTGCTGGATGTCACCTCTGCAACCACACCCATGTGGTGGTTTCATGAACAAACTACGCTCCTCCTCCTTCTCCTGGCCTGGGACACACAGAGCCACCCCAGCCTTGTGAGTGACCTAGAGAAGGGAGGCCTCGGGAGAAGGGGTGCTCCTAAGCACTGCGTGCCGCGGCCCCCACACCATTCTGAAATCCCAGGCACGCGGGTGTCGTGGATGTGGCCACACATAGGACCACACATCCCAGCGGGGAGGAGAGGCCTGGGGCCCCCCAGCAAAGACCCCCAGGGAGGGAGGCAGGGGGTGGGGGACATGGAGAGCTGAGGCAGCCTCATCTCCCCACAGCCTGGTATCGCCGGCCTTCAGGTGTCTGGAGCCCCCACACCTGGCCAACCTGACCTTGGAAGATGCTGCTGAGTGTCTCAAGCAGCACTGACAGCAGCCGGGCCTGCCCCAGCGCAACGTGGGGCCAGGACTCAGCTGGACAGCCCACGCCTGTCCCTCTGGAGCTGGGCTGCTGCTGCCTCAGGACCCCCCCTCCAACCCCAGACAGAGCCTGAGCTGGCCAGGGCCGGGAGGGCGGGAGGGAGGGAGCGGGGGTGGGCCGTGTACAGCGTCAGCACCTGGGCAGGTCTGCGGAGCTGTGAGACGTGATGATTAAAATCCCTGATGTTTCTCTTTGCAGAAGAGTTCTTGTCGGAGCAGGGGGAAGCCCCTGGGGGCTGGAGGTGGGCTTCTGGGGAGGCCTAAAAGTCCCAGACAGAGCAGGGCAGGTCCTGGCCTCAGGTCCGCAGCCATGGGGGACCGACTTGGAGCCAAACTCACAGGGCCTCAGGGAGTGTCCCCGGACTCCTAGATGTGGAGCCGTGGCCCACCTGAGCACACACAGGTAGGCTCGCACAAGCCCACAGAGCGCCTGGGTTCTTCCACCCAAAGCGAGGCCACAGTATGGTCGAGACCAGGGCCAGCGCTAGTGCGTTTAGGTGTTGTGGTCACATCAGACCCGAGCCAAGGAACGCAGGAACTGTGGCTGTCTCATCTCTGTGGCAGCAACAGGTGTGGCATGATGGCCGGAGCCGGGGCCACGACTGCCTGACCTTGGCTGACCGGTCCTGAGACACAGGAGGGAGGGACTCGTGTTCCATCTGTGCAGTGGTGCCGCTCCAAGTCCCATTCTCACTCGGGCGACCTCAGCCCGGTGGTCTCCTCGCTTCTGCCGGTCTCCTCACTTCGAGTGTCCCTTTGCTCCGGCGTTGGGGCGGCTGCAGGACACTGTCGAGAACAGCCCTTGCGCACACTGACGCTGCCAGCACGGGCCCCGCGCACTGTTCCGCGGCCGCCTCAGGCTTCCATCACGGGAGGGGCGCATGGGCACATTCGCTGTCAGGAACGGCGTGTGGAAAGGTGGCCGAGCGCCTCCCAGGCTCCGTGGGACATGGAGCCACACGCGTGTCGGGGGAGAACGTGGTAGTGGCCACTGAGGACAGCGTCCGGGGTGGTGGCGCCGGGTCCTGGCTGTGAAAGATGCTTCCTTCGAGGCCGGCGAGCGTATTTAACAGGAAAGAGGCTTGCGGCAGGTGCTTTCAAGGCACTGTTTTCTATAAAGGACGCTGGTGTGGGCCGCGGCTGGGGTCCCGTCTGTGCTGCTCTGCGCCCCCTGCCACCAAATGCCTGACACCACGGCCGCGTCTTGGGTTAGAGTTGGCAGGGGCTTCACTGACCCAGCGTCACCTTGCTCGAGGCTCCCATCTTCAAGGTGTAAGGCTGGTGTAAAGGAGGCAAATTCACCCAGGGGCGGGGTGGCTGCTCTTCCGCAGTTCTCAATTCTGGATCTGTCCCTGCCCTGAGGGGCTCCTGCGGAACGGGAGGGAGAGTGGGCACCTGCTCCCCTGCACAGCCCTGGGGGGAGATGCTGGGAACCAAGGCCTCCACGGGGTGGGGGATTCCCTGGCCTGTGCCTGCCCGAGCCCCAGGCCGGCATGGTGCTGGGGACGGAGGCCACCTCCCAAGGGCCCGTGAGCTGAGGCGCAGAGGCTCCAACCCTGCAGCGCCGCATGACCAGGTCAGGCAGAAGGCCCCATGTGGAAATGCCTGTTTTACAACTTTATTGGATCATCTTGACACAAAATCATGACAGCAGCGTGATATGTCTCTCTTCTTTATACGGGAATGTCGATAGCAAATAAATTCTTATGTAACACATCATATAATTTCAAATCCTAGAATCACTGCACGGGATTCTGTAATAGATTACATGCTAAAGTGACAGTTTTCATCAAAAGGAAAAGATAAAATGTCATTATCTCTGAGGAAGGGTCAGTCCTGTGCCCACGCTGGCCACGGGGATTGAGCGGAGTCCCCTTGCCCTGCCTGGTGGGGGCTCTCCCAGGTCCTGCCCAAGGGCACTGGGCACACTCCTTCAACACAGGAGAACAGCCCGGGTCGGGTGCTTCCAGGCCCTGCCCGGGCCTTCCTAACAGTGCTGGGAAGGACGTGGGGAAACCTTGGTGCGCACAGTGGCAAGCAGGGGACGCGACCACACACCCCCACCCCAAACCTAAGCTCGTCGAGCTGCACTTCTGCTGACCAGGAAAACTGGTGGCAGAGGCCTCATCCCGCCCGGTCCATGGTTCTCACGGCATCCTCTCTTCGGCGTCCCTGGCCCCTCCCTGCCCACAGCCTGGCTGGTGCGTGGCCTGGGATCCCAGGGCCCAGCCACCAGCCCACGAGCACACTGACGATGGACAACGCCCGGCAAAACCGCTTTCCCACCGTGGGTCCTGGGACAGAAAACCTTGGCAACAGCGGCCCTTCCTTGCCCTACCCCGGACGCCACTGTCAGGACCTTTGGGACAAAAGCAGGTGACCCCAGAGGAAGCCACGTCAGCCCCGCCCTGTCCACCAAGTGCCCCTCATGTGGTGCCCGTTGGGCCCTGGCCCAGGACAGGAGCCCCTGAAGCCACATTCAAGGACTCGGCCTCCAGCGCGGGGCAGGCACAGGCCAGGTGGGGGGGGGCCCTTGCTGGTCTGGGGACGTGAAGGGGACTTCCTGCCAAAGAGAGTGGGAAGAGTCACAGTAAAAAAGGACGGTCGGATAATTCAACGCAACGTACGACCTCGGACGTCTACACGGCGGGCGACAACAAGGAGTTAATTAAATTAACACTCAGGCTTGCGTACAGTACACACGACCGAGGAGAGGCGAGACACGTCAGGGCTGCGGTCCCCGGGTGGGCGGGGCTCGCAGGCAGCTCTCAACACTTGGCCAGCGTCGCCTTCATCTCTTCTAACAAGTTGCTCAGCAGCGTGGAGTCACTGCACTTCCCATCGACCGAGACAGAGTTCTCCCCCTGTGTAAGGAAAAACATTGGTATTTTTAAAAGTGTGTGCAGAGGCCAGGCATGGTGGCTCACACCTGTAATCCCAGCATTTTGGGAGGCCAAGGTGGGTGGATCACCTGAGGTCAGGAGTTGGAAACCAGCCTGGTCAATACGGTGAAACCCTGTCCCTACTAAAAATACAAAAAACAGACCAGGCGCGGTGGCTCACGCCTGTAATCCCAGCACTTGGAGAGGCCGAGGCGGACAGATCACGAGGTCAGGAGATCGAGACCATACTGGCTAACACAGTGAAACCCCGTCTATACTAAAAATACAAAAAAAATTAGCTGGGCGAGGTGGCGGGCTCCTGAAGTCCCAGCTACTCGGGAGGCTGAGGCAGGAGAATGGCGTGAACCCAGGAGGTGGAGCTTGCAGTGAGCTGAGATCGCACCACTGCACTCCAGCCTGGCGGAGTCTCACTCTGTCTCAAAAAAAAAAAAAAAAAATTCGACAGGCATGGTGGCAGATGCCTGTAACCCCAGCTACTTGGGAGGCCGAAGCAGGAGATTTGCTTGAACTTGAACCCAGGGGGTGGAGGTTGCATGCGAGCTGAGGTTGTTCCACCACACTCCAGCCTGGGTAACAAGAGCAAACCTCTGTCTCAAAAATAAATAAATAAAAGTACATGCAGGTCAGGCCGGGTGGCTCATGCCTGTGGTCCCAGCTATGCAGGAGGCTGAGGCAGGAGGATCCTATGCAGAGCGGGGCTGGGGTGGGAGGATCCTATGCTGGGGGCTGGGGCGGGAGGATCCTATGTGGGGGGCTGAGGTGGGAGGATCCTATGTGGGGGCGCTGGGGCGGGAGGATCCTATGCAGGGGGAGCTGGGGTGGGAGGATCCTATGTGGGAGGCTGAGGCGGGAGGATTCTATGCAGAGGGGGGCTGGGGCGGAAGGATCCTATGTGGGAGGCTGAGGCGGGAGGATTCTATGTGGGGGAGCTGAGGTGGGAGGATCCTATGCGGGGGGACTGAGGCGGGAGGATCCTATGCGGGGGGACTGAGGCGGGAGGATCCTATGCGGGGGGACTGAGGCAGGAGGATCCTATGTGAGAGGCTGGGGCAGGAGGATCCTATGCGGGGGAGCTGAGGCGGGAGGATCCTATGCGGGGGGACTGAGGCGGGAGGATCCGATGCGGGGGAGCTGAGGCGGGAGGATCCTATGCGGGGGGACTGAGGCGGGAGGATCCTATGCGGGGGGAGCTGAGGCGGGAGGATCCAATGCGGGGGGGCTGAGGCGGGAGGATCCTATGCGGGGGAGCTGAGGCGGGAGGATCCTATGCGGGGGAACTGAGGCGGGAGGATCCGATGCGGGGGGGCTGAGGCGGGAGGATCCTATGCGGGGGGACTGAGGCGGGAGGATCCGATGCGGGGGAGCTGAGGCGGGAGGATCCTATGCGGGGGGAGCTGAGGCGGGAGGATCCTATGCGGGGGACTGAGGCGGGAGGATCCTATGCGGGGGGGCTGAGGTGGGAGGATCCGATGCGGGGGAGCTGAGGCGGGAGGATCCATGCGGGGGGAGCTGAGGCGGGAGGATCCTATGCGGGGGAGCTGAGGCGGGAGGATCCTATGCGGGGGGACTGAGGCGGGAGGATCCGATGCGGGGGGACTGAGGCGGGAGGATCCTATGCGGGGGGGCTGAGGCGGGAGGATCCAATGCGGGGGGGCTGAGGCGGGAGGATCCTATGCGGGGGGACTGAGGCGGGAGGATCCTATGCGGGGGGAGCTGAGGCGGGAGGAATCCAATGCGGGGGGGCTGAGGCGGGAGGATCCTATGCGGGGGAGCTGAGGCGGGAGGATCCTATGCGGGGGGAGCTGAGGCGGGAGGATCCGATGCGGGGGGGCTGAGGCGGGAGGATCCTATGTGGGGGGACTGAGGCGGGAGGATCTGATGCGGGGGAGCTGAGGCGGGAGGATCCTATGTGGGGGGACTGAGGCGGGAGGATCCTATGCGGGGGGGCTGAGGCGGGAGGATCCTATGCGGGGGAGCTGAGGCGGGAGGATCCGATGCGGGGGAGCTGGGGGGGGGGGGGGGGGGGGGGGATCCATGCGGGGGGACTGAGGCGGGAGGATCCTATGCGGGGGGGCTGAGGTGGGAGGATCCTATGTGGGGGGACTGAGGCGGGAGGATCTGATGCGGGGGAGCTGAGGCGGGAGGATCCTATGCAGGAGGCTGAGGCAGTAGGATCCTATGCGGGGGGGCTGAGGTGGGAGGATCCTATGTGGGGGGACTGAGGCGGGAGGATCTGATGCTGGGGAGCTGAGGCGGGAGGATCTGATGCGGGGGGGCTGAGACGGGAGGATCCCATGCAGGAGGCTGAGGCAGGAGGATCCTATGTGGGAGAATGAGGCAGGAGCATCACTTGAGCCCAGGAGGTTGAAGCTACAGTGAGCCGTATTTGCACCACTGCACTCCAGCCTGGGCAACAGAGCGAGATCCTACCTCAAAAACATTAAAAAAAAAAAAAAAAACACCCACTATGTGCAAATACTGCCTCACAGCTATATGTGCTGACCTTTTAATTTTGCGAATTTGCTAATTATTAAAACACAAAACGGGAAGGGCTCGGGTGAGGGAGTGGCCCATGGCACCCGGGTGTCCCATGGGAGGGGCTCCGGCCTACACAGAAGTGGGAGCCGACGCCTGAGGGCCCCGAGGCAGCCAGAGGCAGCTGGGGACAAAGACCAGAATCCGAAAAGCTCCTGAGCTGGCAGTGAGTTGAGCAGTCTGTCCTTCCGCCCTCCTGCCACTGGGCCCCCGAAGCGACTGTGGAAGAAGCCAGTGGAGTGGGGTAACCAGAGCCCCAGCGAGGGAGGTGCATGGGAAAACAGCGGCTCAGGATCTGCTGGGCCCGCCCCTCGCCACGGAGCCCGCCCCAAAGAGCAGCCCAAACACTGAGTCCAGAGGCCGCGGCCGGGTCCCGCCAGGCCAGGGACAAGAGTCAGCACTGAGAGGACAGAGGCTGGGCAGGTGGCAGTGCACTTGGGGCCACAGTCCCCAGAAGGCAGGAGGCACCTGCAGCTGAGACCTGACCACCCACGTCCTCTACAGAATGGAACAAGGCCCAGAAGCTCACAAGACTCCAAGGAAAAACCAGGAGAATCCACTCATACGGAGAGGCCCTTGGCAGACCCCAGTGCCAAGACCCCAGCCCCAGGGCACCAATGCCAAGGCACTAATGGCAAGGCTGTTGGTAGACCCCAATGCCAAGATCACATCACCCAGATGCCAACACGAAGGCACCAATGCCAAGGCCATCGGCAGACACCAACACCAAGGCACCAACACCCAGACCCTAATGCTGAGGCACCAATGCCCAGACCCCAGCACCAAGACCCCAACACCAAGGCCGTGAGCAAACACCAATGCCAAGACACCAACACCCAGACCCCAACGCCCAGACCCCAACGCCCAGACCCCAACGCCGAGACCCCAACGCCGAGACCCCAACGCCCAGACCCCAACACCGAGACCCCAACGCCCAGACCCCAACGCCCAGACCCCAACGCCGAGACCCCAACGCCCAGACCCCAACGCCGAGACCCCACCGGCCAGACCCCAATGCCCAGACCCCACCGGCCAGACCCCAATGCCCAGACCCCACCGGCCAAACTCCAATGCCAAGGCACCAACGCCCAGACCCCAATGTCCAGACCCCAACACCAAGACCCCAACGCCCAGACCCCAACGCCCAGACCCCAACGCCCAGACCCCAACACCGAGACCCCACCGGCCAGACCCCAATGCCGAGGCACCAATGCCCAGACCCCAATGTCCAGACCCCAATGTCCAGACCCCAATGTCTAGACCCCAATGTCCAGACCCCAATGCCGAGGCACCAATGCCAAGGCCACTGGCAGAAACCAACATCAAGACCCCAACCCACAGACCCCAACACCAAGGCCACCGGCACACCAAGGCGGATGGATACTAGGACTCTCTGACACAAGTTTTCTTTTTCTCTTTTTTGGAGTCTCACTCTGTTGCCCAGGCTAGAGTGCAGTGGCACAATCAGGGCTCACCACAGCCTTGAACTCCTGGGCTCAAGAGATCCTCCCACCCCAGCCTCCCGAGTAGCAGGGACTAGAGGCTTGCTGTACTAATTTCTTAGTACTGGCTAATTTTTTAAATTTTTTGTAGTCCTGGGGTCTTGCCACGTTCTCAGGCTGGTCTCGACCTCCAGGGCTCAAGCGATCCTCCTGCCTCAGCCTCCCGAGTAGCAGGGACCACAGTCACATGCCACCATGCCCAGCTGGCCTAAGCTTTAAAGTAGCTCTTAGAAAACACTCCAACAGATCACCAGGGCATCAGCAAAGACATGGAAGATACAAGAGCCCAGTGGGAATTTCAGACCTGAAAAACAGACCCTCCCTGTGTGGGCTCAACAGCAGAACAGCCAGGACAAGGCAGAGTGGTGAGCTTGGCAGGAGAGCAACAGCCATGAACCCATCTGAACACAGCCTCGGGTCATGAGGGGCAGCAGCCCAGGCTGGGGAGGAAGAGCGCAACACCCAAAAAGCAGCAAAACAAATCAGCTCCCAGACGCCTCACGCCCATCAGAATGGCTGCTGTCAGCCGGGCGCAGTGGCTCATGCCTCTAATACCAGCACTTTGGGAGGCTGAGGCAGGCGGATCAGGAGTTCGAGACTAGCCTGACTAACATGGTGAAACCCCGGAAACCCTGTGTCTACTAAAAATACAAAAAAATTAGCCAGGCGAGGTGGTGCGTGCCTGTAATCCCAGCTACTTGGGAGGCTGAGACAGGAGAATCGCTTGAACCCGGGAGGAGCTTGCAGTGAGCTGAGATCGCGCCACTGCACTCCAGCCTGGGTGACAGAGCAAGACTCTATCTCAAAGGAAAAAAAAAGAATGGCTGCTGTCAGCATAACAATGACAGGTGAAGAAATGGGGCCTCCTGCCTGGCGGCAGATGGGATACACGGTGCAGCGCTGGGGAAGACAGTCTGGCAGCTCCTCAAAACCTCAAAACCTCAAACATGGAATCACCACAGGACCCAGCAATCACACTCCTGGGTGTATATTCAAAACAAATGGGCTCACTCCTGCAATGCCAGCACTTTGGGAGGCCGAGGCAGGCGGATCACCTGAGGTCAGGAGTTCCAGACCAGCCTGGCCAACCTGGCAAAACCCCGTCTCCACTAAAAATACAAAAATTAGTCAGGCAAGGTGACACACACCTGTAATCCCAGCTATTCAGGAGGCTGAGGCAGGAGAATCGCGTGAACCCGGGAGGCGGAGGTTGTGGTGAGCCCTTGGCTCCACTGCACCCCAGCTTGGCCAACAGAGTAAGACTCTATTTCCAAAACAAATACAAAAACAAAAACTAAAACACAAAAACAAAAGTACTGAAGGCAGGGACTCAAACAGTTATTTGTTTAACAACAATGTTGACAGCAGCACAATTCACAACAGCCAGAAGGTGGGAGCAGCAATGGATGAGGGGACACACAGCACGGTCCACCCGCACAAGAGAATACGATTCCGCCCTGAAAACGAAGGGAATCCTGACAGAGGCTGCGATGTGGATGCACCTTGAGGACATGAGGCGGAATAAGAGTAGCCAGACACAGAAGGACACATCCCGTGTGGTTCCACTCCTAGGCGGTCCCTAGAGTCATCAGATTCACCAAGACACAAAGTAGGATACTGGGTGCCAGGGGCTGGGGAGGCGACGGGGAGTGAGTGTTTCATGGAAGGCCGTGAACCAGGAGAAAACTGGAACGTTAGGAATGAAAAGAACATCAATGGCAGGTCGGATGCAGTGGCTCACGCCTGTAATCCCAGCACTTTGGGAGGCCGAGGCAGGTGGATCATGAGGTCAGGAGATGGAGACCATCCTGACTAACATGGTGAAACCCTGTCTCTACTAAAAATACAAAAAACTAGCCGGGCGTGGTGGCGGCGCCTGTGGTCCCAGCTACTTGGAAGGCTGAGGCAGGAGAATGGCGTGAACCCGGGTGGTGGAGCTTGCAGTGAGCCGAGATCGTGCCCCTGCACTCCAGCCTGGGCGACAGAGCAAGACTCCGTCTCAAAAAAATAAATAAATAAATAAAACAAAGTGTGTATGCACGATCCCTGGACACCCACACATAAAAATACAAAGCAAGGGTATCAAAACCACAACAGACCTCTAGGAACTGAGGAATGCTGAGTAATGAACATGAGGAAGAAGGCGGAGAAGCGAAAGAAACACGTGCAAACTGGAAATCCTCAGTATGCTCCCGAAGGGCACTGGAACCAAACCAGACATCAAAAAAAATTGGTTCTTTGAAAAGTGCAATAAAATGGACAAACCTCTACCCAGGAGAACCAGGAAAAAAGAGACACAAACCGTGACCATCAGAACAGAAAGTGACCCAGGATCATCACAAGGAGCAGTGAAAAGAAACGGAGCAGCGAGACCGCGGCGCGCACCGCTCCGCACATCAGCTCAGTGACCCTGATGATTCCTTACGCTTGTTCTTTGAAAAGTACAAACTACCAAACTCACCCAAGATGAGCGATAACTTGGGGATTCCTATAACTGTTAACACAAAAAACTGCGGTTGTAGCTAAAAGCCTGCAGAAAAGGAACTCCCCAGGCCCAATGGTTTTCTGATGAATTCTGTACACACATTTCTTTCGAAGGAAAAAATGCCACTCATCACACAGTCTGTCCCAAAACAGAGAGGACACACTCTCCTGCGTGTCTGATGAGGTCACTGGATGACAAAACCAAAGGCGGTACCAGAAAAGAAAACTAAAGACCCAACTCCTCATATACACACACGAAAGCCCTCAACAAAACAGTCACACTGAGTTTGGCAGTCGACACACTGCGAAGACAACCACCCTGCAATACTCAGGAGAGGGAGGCCTGGAGCGGAGCGAGCGAGGAGTCATTCTGGAAGCTCAGCAGTGAGAGGTGGAGAGTCCGACCCCAGGACCTTGGCTGCCTTGTGCACAGGGGTGGGGTGGGGGGCAGGAGTGCAGTGGGAGTGGGGGCCCCCGGAGCCATGTGTCAGCCTGGGGTGAGCAGCACAGCAGGAGGCGGAAGCCCCGTCTTGCTGAGGGAAAGTCTGCGCTGCTGAGTGGGGCTGGCGCAGGTGAGGGGCTCACGGCTGTGGTGCTGCCATCACTGTCCTTGAGCCCTCAAAGTCCCAAGGCTCACCCCTGGGGATGAAGGCCTGGGCATGACCCCAGGAGAGGTGGGAGCCAGGGTGTGTGCAGTGACCTAAGGCTCACCTTTTTCACCAGGAGGCAGACGTGGTGGCCCTGGATGGAGCGGCTGTACATGGAGGCGCAGGAGTCCACTCGCTCCACAACTGCAACAGAGCGGGCGGCGTCAGGCCCCCGCAAACCGCATGGTTGCAGCCCCACCCCCAGAGCAGGGGCCACCTTCCTGGGCTGCCCTTGGCCACAGCTTCAGGTCTGCAGGAGCAGGGTGTGGCCCTGGGAAGCCTGGGGTGTGGGGAATGCAGCCCCCGCACCAGCTCCCAGGCCTCGGGGCCACCAGTTACCCGGGATCCCAAAGGGTGGGAGTTTGGGTGCGAGGGCCACAGACCCGGCTCCAAAAGGAAGGGACAGCCGCCGCGCGTGTGAAAGCCCCTCACTCTCCTTACCAGAAAAATGGTGGTGAAAACAGATCTTTGCCAGAAGGTTCTGGAAGGACATCCGAATGCCATCGACTTTGACTGAGCTCATGCTCAAGTCCCCAGACTCCAGCAACTTGGCAAAGGCGTCACTGTGGGAGGGACAGGGAGGCTGACTCCGGTGGGGCCGGGTTCCTCAGGCTCCCTGGCACAGAAGCCGACAAAACCTGCCACACATGCCACCTCCTGCCTGTCTGGGCCGGGAGGTCTCGGGGGTCCTGGAAGATGTGGCTTATTTTCATGTGTGGAAGCCCTCACACCCAGAAACTGATAATGACTTGTCTTTAAAGAGGTCACAGAGGTGCCTGAAGTCATGGGGTGGGCCCTCCTCTGACAGGGACGGATGTCCTGTAGGAAAGGACTAGCGGGACAGGCTAGGACGCAGGCACACAGAGGACAGCCTGCAACGACTCGGGGGGCAGGCAGTGCCGCACGCCAAGCCGTGCTGAGGAGAGGCCTCAGGAGCAGCCCGTGCTGCTGGCTCCTTGATCTCACTCCTCCAGCCTCCAGGACTGCCAGGAGCCAGAGCCTCTCTGGGTGACGCTGCCAGGCCTGTGGCTTCAACTACGCGGCCCCAGCTGGTGCAGACACCAGGCAGCCTGACCTGCACCAGCCACGAGCCAGGCCTCCAAATCCGTCTCTAAAGTCCTGCCCAGAAGCCTCAGTCTCCAGGGCACAGGTGTCTGTAAGGTCGAGGGAGGCGGAGGGGTGCGGGAGGCGGAGGGGTGCAGGAGGTGGGCGTGGCCGGGCCCCACCTGTAGCAGGGTGTGGTGGTCAGGTAGGAGCTGCAGCTGAAGTGCAGCCGGAAGTCCAGCTTCTCGTGGGTTGCGCCCTCGTCATTCTGCAGTGGAGGGAAGGTGGTGCAGCTGAGTGGGGAGTGAGGCCCAGGTCAGAGCTCCGGGCTCCCCAGGCAGGTGGCCCACTTCCCCTAGGGACACCTGGACACCCACTGGAATGGGGCAGGAGGAGCCCCAGCCTGCAGAGTCGGCTCCCTGACGCCGAGTGGAGCCCCGCATACCTTGGCAATGAAGGACAGGGTTCCCTTGAGCTTCTGCGCCATGACGATGCTCTGGATGGTGAACACATACTGGGCTTCGTTGGAGACGCCTGGCGGGGAAGAGGGGGAGTGGGGCCTGAGACGCAGCTGGGGCTCAGCATGGGCGGGGCCCCCGGGTCTGTCCTTAGCCCCAACTCCTCGATGGCTGATTAGGAATCTGAGCTCAGCCCCCAAGGGAGCACCAGGGGACAGGAGCAGAAACAAGAGGCTAGTGGAGTCCCCAGTTTGGCCTGGACCTGGTCCCATCCCTGTTTCAGAGGACAGACTCGGCCACTGGAGCCGTGGAACCCAGGAAGGCCCCAGCCCCCAGCCCAGCCCTTGGGGCTCTAGCCAGGTCTATCCGAGGCCATCACACTTCTCAGAGAGCTGCAGCGAGACCCCGACACTGAGGAGGCACTGAGGTGCAGCCTGGGGACCAAGGGAACGTGAGGAGGAAGCAACAAGAACCAGTGGATCCGGGCAGCCACCAGCTGCCACCGTGCTCCCACAATCCCCAGGAGAGGCCGTGAGTGGGGCAGGGCTCACCCGGGGGCAGCTGGAAAGGCACGGGGACACCATCATGGACGGAGGAGCCCTGCGGCCGGGCCATCCTGGCATTGAGTGAGTCCAGCACGCTGAGCTCCATGCCCTTGAGGATGCTGCTGCTCCGGTTCTCCAGCACGATGGCCACAGTAACCTGACTGTCCTCCTGCAGACTGCCCCGGATGTCACAGGTCTGCAGGGCATGGCCAATGTAAGCAGGGCAGGCACAGCTGCCTGTCTCTCAGTGACCACAGAGGCAGCACGGGTCCCACGGGCACAGGAAGGCACGGGGAGAGGCGACCCCCCAGCTGCAGCCAGGCGCCTCCTGTGGTTGCTCTTTGAGTGCATGGCGGGGGCCCTCCTGCCAGCTCAGGGCATGTCTCTAACCTTACCCAAGCCAGAGGCGCTGCCCAAGCAATGCCCTGCCAGGGATCACAGGCCCTGGGTACACCAACATCTGGGAGCTGTGGGGGCTGCCCCGGTTCTGTGCAATCCCATGCCAAAGAGCAAGGGCTGGCCCACCCTGCCCCGGGGAGCAGCTCACCATTTTAACATAGGAATTTTCAGCGAGGAGGGAGTAGCTGGACTCAGGCTGGAAAGAGAAAAGGCCCATCAGCCTCGGGGGCCTCGAGCTCCGTCCTAACGAAGACTCCAGTGCAGCCCAATACCCTAGGTCAAATGCCACGACTCCAAGAACGCTTGGGGTGAGGGGCTTCAAAGGGGCCTGCGAGGGATGCCCGTCTCCCACACAGCCCACCGCGGGGGTGCCGAATGTGGGGCTGCAGGCCAGGGCCAGGTCCCTGCTCCCGCCAGGCTCAGCTTCTTCAAGAATCTGCTGTTCTCTCCCGCATGGAGGCCGCAGGAGTGGGGAGCAGCCCGCAGCCCGCCAGGAACCCTGGCACGGGGCGGGGGCGCTGAAGTACCCCTCACCGGGAGCGGCTCCTCCTCTGCTGCGCCGTTCTGCACCGGCTCCCCCGCCGCCTCCGCCTCCTCGCTGCCCAGGGGCTGCTTCTTGGACTTCTTCTTGCCTTTGGTGCGCTCCTCCTTCTCCTTCTTGTGCTTCTTCTTCTTATGCTTGGGAGATTTCTGGAGCAGGAGGAGGGTCAGGTTCAGTTCCCAAGCTGCTCCAGCGCGCCCCCCTCACAATGCGAGGTCGGGGCCACAGGCTGGGCTGCTCAGGCTGAGGGGCCCACGTGTCTGGGTGGGATGGCAGGACCAGCCACGCCTCAGGCCTACCGGGATGAGCTCAGGCCAGACCCAGCCCAGCAGAGGCTGGGGCCATCCCTGGCTGGCGGCAGGCGGCAAGCGCCAAAGCAGCTCAGAGAACAGTCCCTGCCGACCAGGGAGCCATGGATGGTCAACCGGTGAGGACGCCACGCTTGACGCAGCAACCCCACACCCACGCACACACCCGAGAGGGCACACACACGTCCATGCACACTGCACAAATGTTCGAAGCAGCACACTGTGTGGCCACAAAGTGGAAGCGGCCCAAGTGGCTATCAACAGACGAGTGGGCCGGCACAGCGTGGCCCGTCCGTGGAGGAACGGGGTCAGCAGAGGGCGGCCTGTCCACGCACCAGAACACGACCCAGCCATGAACAGGAACCAGGCTCTGACCCAAGCCATAGTGTGGATGCACCTTGAGGACATCACACTCAGTGACACGCCACACACAAAAGACCACACAGTGTATGACCCCATTTCTGTGAAATGTCCAGGACACACTGATCCACAGAGACAGGAAGGATGCGTGGGTGCCAGGGCTGGGAAGGGAATGGGGAGTAACGGCTGGTGGGAATGGAGTTTCTTTAGAGGTGATGGAAAGTTCCGGAACTAGGCCGGGCGCGGTGGCTCAAGCCTGTAATCCCAGCACTTTGGGAGGCCGAGACGGGCGGATCACGAGGTCAGGAGATCGACACCATCCTGGCTAACACGGCGAAACCCCGTCTCTACTAAAAAAATAATACAAAAAACCAGCCGGGCGAGGTGGCGGCGCCTGTAGTCCCAGCTACTCGGGAGGCTGAGGCAGGAGAATGGCGTGAACCTGGGAGGCGGAGCTTGCAGTGAGCTGAGATCCCGCCACTGCACTCCAGCCTGGGCGACAGAGCGAGACTCCGTCTCAAAAAAAAAAAAAAAGGAAAGTTCCGGAACTAGACAGAGGTGATGATGGTTGCAGAATGCTGTATATATACGGAAAACCACCGTATACATATTTTAAATGAATAAACTCTATTAGACTTATGAACCATGTGTGAATATGGAGATTATTAAAAAAACAAAAGACGGCCGGGCGCGGTGGCTCAAGCCTGTAATCCCAGCACTTTGGGAGGCCGAGACGGGCGGATCACGAGGTCAGGAGATCGAGACCATCCTGGCTAACACGGTGAAACCCCGTCTCTACTAAAAGATACAAAAAATTAGCCGGGCGAGGTGGCGGGCGCCTGTAGTCCCAGCTACTCTGGAGGCTGAGGCAGGAGAATGGCGTGAACCCGGGAGGCGGAGCCTGCAGTGAGCCGAGATCGCACCACTGCACTCCAGCCTGGGCTACAGAGCAAGACTCCGTCTCAAAAAAAAAAATAAATAAATAAATAAATAAATAAAAATAAAAATAAAAATAAAAATAAAAAAAATAAAAAAACAAAAGACCACGACCACAACAAAAGGCCCGTGAGAAGTCCGATGCAAAGGCGAGAGCAGGGCTGCCCTGGGATCTGGGTGGCGGAAGCTGTCCGGCCCCACATTGGGATGCTGGGGCGCATGCAGCCCTCCACAGCCACTGGGGAGTGACAGCCTCACCTTGTCCTGGTCTTGCCCCTCAGCGTTGTCCTCCTCGTCCTGCGCCTCCGTCTTGGCGTCTTCACACTCGTGCTTCGGGGTAGTGACAGCGTTCACACTGAGCTCCTCCTGCAGGGAGCCAGGGCTCAGGGCTCATGCTGGGCAATGAGGGGCCCCACTCCACTTCACTCCAGGCAGCCTCCATGCCGCACACCCTCAGCTCACCCTCACCCCTGCCTGAGAGGCCACAGTGCCCTCTGAGTGACAGGGAGCCTGTGGGCGCAGAGGCCCTGGCCATCCTCCCCTTCCCCTGGCCCCTGCTTGGCCCACTGGTACGTGGGAGCACGACCCCGGCCCCACTCAGTGCTGCGAGAGTGACTGCGAGAGCACGGGGCCTCAGGAGACCCCAGGGCTCTTCCCTGAGTGCCAGGTATGACCTCTGGAGACACGAAGGCCGGCAGTGGCCAGCTGCCGGTCTCTTACCGTGGATGGAGCAGGGGCGGGGGCGGGGGCAGGTGGTGGGGTGGTGGACAGCCAGAAGTCCAGGTCCTCAGCCTGAAACCACAAGACAGGCTGTCAGCAAACGCAGTGCATGGTCCTAGGAAGAGGCGCCGGGGACAGCAGGGGACAGCAGGGACCAGCTGCCCTTGCTGCCCCCAGGGCCCTGGACCAGCTGGGCCTTGCAGAGCCTGGGAATCCAGGAGCTGATGGTGATGTCCTCAGCCAGCCCTGCTGGCTCTGGCTTTCGCTGCCAGAAGAGGGCCAGGGACATATCTGTGGGTGGGCATGCGCCATTCCAGTGGTCAGAAGGCCCCTGGCGGCCCGTATGTCTGCCTGGGCCCCTGACGTGGGTGTGCACGGCCCCAGGCCTGCGAACACGCGCTCCTCTGAACCCATTTCTTCCTCTCTGTGAACATGTGCACACAGACGCTGCAGAGACAGCTGCACACCAGGGGCATCTGGACCACACTGAGCTCTGACCACGGCTCCCCAACACAGGTGAGGACACGGCTCGCCTGTCGGATTGTCGGCTCCTCCTCAGTCTCCCCTGACGCAAGCGCACAGCCAACTCCCCTCGGAAGCCACGCGTCCTCCCTCCGCCAGGGCACAGGGCGAGGCGGCTGGTGCTCGCTGCCTCAGACTCACAGCCATTTCCCCTGAGCTCACTGCTGTCCCCAGGCTGTCTGGGAGTTCAGGGCAAGAGAGGGGAATGGAGAAGGATGCTACCCTGGGCACTAGCTTTACCTTCTTCTCCTTCTGCTTCTTCTTCTCCTTGTCTCTCTCTTTCTCTTTGTGCTTTTTCTCTTTCTTCTTGGGTTTCTTGCTCTTCTTTTCTACCACGGGAACGTCCTTCTCGGGGGATTTTGAGGTCTCGGCGTTTCTGTGTTTCTGAATAGGCAGCTTCTCGCTGTCGGCTAAGGGCCTGGAAAGGGGAATGACCGGGTCGCACATCAGCACCACTGGCCACCCCCCAGGACCACCAGTACATGCTGTGTCCAAGCATGTGGCAGCGCGGGACCTGCTCCTCCAGCCCCTGGCCCCAGCCATGGTCCGACGTGGATCTGCCCAACACGGCCTGCTGCAGGCTCTCACGGGAGAGTCTGTCGAGGCATGGGGACCTTCTGAGCACCCCAGGCCTGGAGACTTCAGAGCCCACGCTTAGGGTCTTGGTTGGGAGGGCCAACCAAAAGCAGTGCAGTGAGGACATGGTCTGGGGAACGCCCGCCTGCACCCCGTCCCAGCCTGTCCACCCTGCAGAGCCCGGCCCCGCCCGGGAGGACGAGAGGAAGGGAAGCAACCACCTGTGGCCTCCAGCCTCATCCTGAACCCCTGTGCACTCACTTATCCAGGTCAATGTCCAGAGCCCTGTAGGGATCATTGGGGTCTTTGTCATCCTCATCGCTGGGCAGAGCGTTCTGACAGGAAGAGGTGAACACCATCAGTGGAACCCGCGCCCGTGGCCTGGTGGAACCCCATGTATCTCGGACGCAATGGGACTGCCTGAGACAGTCATGGTCATGGCCACGCCCACACAGGCCACACGCACATGCGGGCAGTGACATGGCTCCACCAGAGGCTCCATTCAGCATCCAGGCACCAAGGGCGGCTGGGCCCCAGGACGCAGCCAACCTGCATCTGCCTCTGAAGCTGCTGGCCCCGGGGTGGGTGCGTGGGGACGTGCGCTCAAGGACAGAGGCGCCTCTCCTCCTAGGCTCTCTGGGGCAGGGCCTCATCCTGGCCACCAAGGAAGACCACGGGGAGATGCCGCTGTGCATGGCCCCAGGACACACACGTGCGGACAGACAGACATTCCCGGGCCGGGCCCTCCAGCGAGGCTGACCTCAGGCATCTCCTCCGTGACAATGTCCACCTGCTGGGCAGGGGCAATGTCCTCGTCGCTCTCCGTGGGCAGCGAGCTGTGGCGGCGCTTGCCCTTCTTCTCCTTCTCCTTCCTCTTTTTCCTCCTCTTGTCCTTCTCCAGCTTCTGCCGGTGCCGCCGCTCCTCCTCCAGCTTCACGTACTGGTCCGACATGGGCAGCCCTGGGGGCCGGCAGCGGGCAGGCACTCAGCACCGGGTCCCAGGGGCTCAAGGGGAGGGCAGCAGGAGCGGCCTACAGCCCATGTGACAAATGTGGCGCTGACACACGGGAGACACTTGCCTGGAACCTTCAACGGGACGGAGAGGTCGATCTGCACCACGGGAATGTGTTCCACGCCCGGGGCGTCCTGGTACCGCTGCGAAAGCAACATCCAGGTGTTACTGGCGCACTGAGGGGTGACACACGGGCAGGACAAGCCTCAGGGACACAGGGGGCGTGACACAGCACTGACATCCTCAGGAGCCAGGGGTCCTGCCAGGGCTCTGGGCCACGAGGAGCACTGTGAGCATCTGGAGAAACCGACTCTTTTTTTTTTTTTGAGACGGAGTCTCGCTGTGTCGCCCAGGCTGGAGTGCAGTGGCCGGATCTCAGCTCACTGCAAGCTCTGCCTCCCGGGTTTTTACGCCATTCTCCTGCCTCAGCCTCCCGAGTAGCCGGGACTACAGGCGCCCACCACCTCGCCCGGCTAGTTTTTTGTATTTTTTAGTAGAGACGGGGTTTCACCGTGTTAGCCAGGATGGTCTCGAACTCCTGACCTCGTGATCCGCCCGTCTCGGCCTCCCAAAGTGCTGGGATTACAGGCTTGAGCCACCGCGCCCGGCCGGAACCGACTTTAAAGACAGTGAGGGCTGGAAAGCTCATCACGCGAGTGACCCTGCAGGCCTACTGCACAGGGAGTAGCAAATCCTCATCCACTTTTTCTACCTGAATATTCTGTTTTCTCCTCAAATGAGAAAAGTAATGCGGCTTCAAGCCCAGAGTGAGGCAGCAGGTTGCCCACGACCGTGAGGTCAGGGCTGGACATCAGCTGGGCTGCCGTGCACACGGAACAGGCCCCTGGCTGGAGGCTCAAACGAATGGGGCCCACAGGGAGGCACCCGCCCCTCAAAGGCTCCGCACAGTCACTGTGTGGCCCCAGCTCCACTCCCAGGATCTTCCAGAAGGAACCTGAAACTCAGAAGGACGCCACAGGGCATGGGTGGTGAGGGTAGAGGGTGCTGAGGGACAGGCAGCCGGGGACGGGCCTCACCTTCTGTGGCGACGGCGAGCTCTTGATGTAGAAGGGGTTGTTGGCCTGCTCCTGCTTCCGGGCCTCTCGGCGCTGCGGGACACGACTTGGCATGAGCTCAAGCGAGCGGGCAGGATACCTCTCTATGGACGTCCACTACCAGCCACCCAACCAGGGAAGGCTGGATCTTTGGCTATTTTCACTACTGAGCTTTTACTAATAGGGAAACCAAGGCCCGCAATTGGGAAGAGCGCATATTGGAGAAAAGGAATCGCTAACCCTCTGGGAGGCAGGGACACACATGCCTCCACTGCCAGGGTCAGGACCAGGACCCACGGAGGCCGCTGACCTGCCTGGGCTACCCGGCTACTGATGAGCAGCTCAGACGGGCTGGGGCTGCTGAGCTCGGGACAGGGCCTCCTGATTGCCAGGGCTGCCTGAAAGCACGGCCTGGAGGATGTAGGAGCACAAAGGCCCGCACGCAGCCCACCATGGGCATTCCCTCTGTCGGTGTAGGATGAAAGGAGAGGACTGCTGGAGGGGCTCCCCTCTCTGCACAGATGAGCAGGGCGAGGTGGAGCCCCACACGGGGCACAGGGGCTGCATCTGCCTCGGGAGGATGGGGTCCAGGGGCCTCCTTCACCTTCCCCAGCTTCTGGTCTGGGTGGGCTGCACGTGTCTGCAGTGTCTTACAGCAGCTATGGCAGGGTCAGGGAAGGGCCCCACACAGGCACCCACACGCCCCCAGCTGCAGGTCGGGTTAATGGAGTTCTCCTCAGGGGGGCTCCTGGATCTAGAGAAGCTGTCCCCCATGTCTTTTTTTTTTTGAAATGGAGTCTTGCTCTGTCACCCAGGCTGCAGGAGTACAATGGCATGATCTCACTGCAACCTTTGCCTCCCGGGTTCAAGCAATTCTTTTTTTTTTTTTTTTTTGAGACGGAGTCTCGCTCTGTCGCCCAGGCGGGAGTGCAGTGGCCAGATCTCAGCTCACTGAAAGCTCCGCCTCCCAGGTTTACACCATTCTCCTGCCTCAGCCTCCCGAGTAGTTGGGACTACAGGCGCCCGCCACCTTGCCTGGCTAATTTTTTTGTATTTTTTAGTAGAGACGGGGTTTCACCGTGCTAGCCAGGATGGTCTCGATCTCCTGACCTCGTGATCCGCCCGTCTCGGCCTCCCAAAGTGTTGGGATTACAGGCTTGAGCCACTGCGCCCGGCCGGTTCAAGCAATTCTATTGCCTCAGTCTCCTGAGTAGCTGGGATTACAGGTGCCCGCCACCGCACCCAGCTAATTTTTGTATTTTATTTTATTTTTTTTGAGATGGAGTCTCACTCTGTCGCCCAGGCTGGAGTGCAGTGGCGCGATCTCAGCTCACTGCAAGCTCTGCCTCCCGAGTTCATGCAATTCTCCTACCTCAGCCTCCCCAGTAGCTGGGGCTACAGGTACCCGCCACCACGCCCGGCTAATTTTTTGTATTTTTTGTAGAGACGGGGTTTCACTGAAACCAGGATGGTCTCGATCTCCTGACCTTGTGATTCGCCCGCCTCAGCCTCCCAAAGTGCTGGGATTACAGGCGTGAGCCACTGCACCCAGCCAATTTTTGTATTTTTCGTAGACACAGGGCTTCACTATGTTGGCCAGGATGGTCTTGATCTCTTGACCTCATGATATGCCCACCTTGGCCTCCCAAAGTGCTGGGATTACAGGCATGAGGCACCGCGCCTGACCAAGATGCTCCCCATTTCAGTGAAGCTCAATGAAACTCAACCATAACATGAAATACCCACTTGGGGCGTCCTGGAGGGCGGCGGTGCACAATCTTGAGCCAACAGAACCAAGCCCCGGACTCAGGAGCCTCAAAGACTCCCTGGGACAGGAGGGAGGAGGCGAAGGCCCACCAGGGGCACCCAACAGCTCACCCGAGCCAGCTCTTCCTCGTCTGCCTCGGACGGCCGGTGCTTGGGGCGCCGCTGCTCTTCCTCGTGGAAGACGGCCCTGGGCCTCTCGTCCTCTGACTCGCTGTCCGAGAGTGGCTCGTTGATCCAGGCGTCTAGGTCCAGGCTGTGCCGGACAGGAGGGTCACACAAGGCAGTGTGTGTGACCGAGCACGCGCCTGCAGGCGCCCACCCTGAGCAGGCTCACCACGTGCCTGGCCATGTGAGACCCCAAACAGTGGTGCCTGCTACCCACACAGGGCCAGCGAGGCAGGTGTCACTGCCCCTTAGAGAGGATGCAGAGACCCAGGAAGGCTACAGCAGGGTCACAGTGGGGCCCTCACGGCAGGTTCAGGCTGCCTCAGAGCTTGAAGGCAAGGGTGGAGCAGGCCCACCTCCCAGGGAGCATCCCCAGGTTCCAGCCAGGTCCCAGAAGCAGAGAGAGCCCCAGTGAGTCCAGCGAGGGGCGCCCGCCCCAGGCCTCCAATCAGCCCCACACCCTCCTGGCTGTTGAGGGCTGCAGTAGCCCCCTCTGTGCCTCCAGGCATCAGGCGACCACGTCAAGGCTGTGGTTGCAATGCCCCCACCCCCGTATCCTTACCCTTCAGGGACTGGAACCTTCTTCTGGGCCTTGGGGGCCACTGGGTTCAGCTCCCCAGCAAAGAGAGTGCTGACCTCCTCCGCCACGGGCACGTCCTTGGCCTGAAGCTTCTGGATATGCTTGACCAGCTGCAGGATGCAGGACGCCTGCGGGGGACGCAGGAGTCACCGCTGGCACCTGCCCGGAAGGCCATTTGGCCACCCTCAGGGACACTGGGTGGCTAAGCCCCTGGCACAGTGACGTGCGGGCCCTCTGGCACAGCCAGGTACCCACAGAGAGCCCAGCCTTCATGCCATCTCCATTGTCATCCTTGACAAGCAGCGGCGGAAAAGACCAGTCCACAAACAGAACAGAGATGGGGGCACAACAGGGAGCTTTGCCCACTGCAGAAATGCCTCCCATAAGGCCTGTGCCCCGACACCAGAAGCACCACCTTGTTCGGCCCCTGCGGGCTCCCTGCCTCTGTGCTGGCTGCAACTCAGACACAGCCAGGCTGGGCAGCTCCAAGAGTGACCATGGGCCAAGGATCATGGCCAGCCCCCAGATAATGCCACTGCTCAGAGAAGCCCGGGGCCACACCCCATGCAGCCTTGACGCTGGGTCTCCTCAGCCACTGGATGGGCTGATGCCGCTCCCGATCTCTCTCACAGATGACCAGGCGCAATGTTTCACATCTGTAATCCTTGCACTTTGGGAGGCTGACGTGGGAGGATCATCTGAGGTCAGGAGTTTGACCTGGCCAACAAGGTGAAACTCCGTCTTTAATAAAAATACAAAAATTAGCCGGGTGTGGTGGTGGGTGCCTGCAATCCCAGCTACTTGCGAGGCTGAGGCAGGAGAACCCCTTGAACCCAGGGGGCGGAGGTTGTCGTGAGCCGAGATCACATCACTTCACTCCAGCCTGGGCAAAGGAGGGAAATTCTATCTCAAACAAAACAAAACAACAAACAGAAAAACAGAGACCTGGGAACTGGTGGGCACCAGCTGGCACAGGTGTACAGTCTGCTCAACCCAGAACCCACGTCACCTGCAGGGCACCAGAAAGAGCCACAGCCAGCCCCAGGCTCTCACACCTGCTGTCTCGCCGCATGTGAAACAGGCTCTTCCTATGGCCAGGAGCAGCACCCCCACATACCCAGCACCCCAGAGACCTGCCCAGTCCCACTGACCTAAAGGTCCCACTGACTAACCCCAAACCCCAGCTGGCACAAGTGGCAACAAAGGAATCTCAGTGAGTGGCTTCAGAAGAGGAAGGGAGGCCCCGTCAACCTGGCCGCCGCTGGACAGAAAGGCACTGAGGGCTCCCTGAGGCTTGGCCCAACGCTGAGTGCAGCCTTACCCGCTCCTGCACCTCCAGGTCTGCGCTCTGCACAAACTGGGGCAGCCGGTCCACCATGAGTTGGGTGACGGCCTGGGCGCCCTCTGCCTCCCCGGCCTGCTCCTTCTGCTGCAGGATGTTGGCGTACAGCTTGACCACGTTCTGCACATACACGGCCTGGATGTGGCCTGGCAGCGTGGTGACTTTGGGCCGTAGCATGGCCTCCAGAGTGTGGTGCGGTTCCTGCAGATGCCTGAGGACAGGAAACGCCGTGAGTCCCCAGGATGCCCGCCCCAGGGCTCCTCTCCAACAGGTGAGGACCTGGGAGGCCTGGGCTTGTCACAAACGAGGTGACTCTGGGCCTTTCCCATTCCCTGAGCTGTCTCCGGGGGCTGAGACACGAAGTAGAAGAAACCAGGGGCCATCCATAGCCCATAACACGAACAAGACAGAGATGTGGAGATGACAGAGCCACTGAGCGGAGGACAGGTCAGAAGAGGAAAAAGGACAATGGGGTCGACTGTGCAGTTGGCCCTGGGAAGATGAGCAGGACGGGCAGGGAGGAGACGGAGCCGGGAGACCCTGATCTGTGGGACACTGGGGCCTGGGGGTGTGCCTCACTCACATCTGACACAATGTCTTGGGACTTGGATATGTTTCTAGTCCACTTTTCTCCCACCAAGAAAATAATAGAAGTGGCCGGGCACTCACCTATAATCCCAGCAGTGTGGGAGGCCAAGGCAGGCAGATCATGAGGTCAGGAGTTTGAGACCAGCCTGGCCAACATGGTGAAAGACTACTTCCACTAAAAATACAAAAAATGAGGCCAGGTGCAGTGGCTCACGCCTGTAATCCCAGCACTTTGGGAGGCCAAGGCAGGCAGATCACAAGGTCAGGAGATCGAGACCATCCTGGCTAACGCGGTTAAATCCCGTCTCTATTAAAACTACAAAAAATTGGGAGGGATTGCATTGGGAGTTATACCTGATGTAAATGACGAGCTGATGGGTGCTGACAAGTTGATGGGTGCAGCACACCAACATGGCACAAGCATACATATGTAACAAACCTGCATGTTATGCACATGTATCCTAGAACTTAAAGTATAATAAAAAAAAAAAAATACAAAAAATTAGCCAGGCGTGTTGGCGGGCGCCTGTAGTCCCAGCTACTCGGGAGGCTGAGGCAGGTGAATGGTGTGAATCCGGGAGGCGGAGCTTGCAGTGAGCCGAGATAGCGCCACTGTACTCCAGCCTGGGCGACAGACAGAGCAAGACTCTATCTCAGAAATAAGAGATCGAGATCAGCCTGGCCAACATGGTGAAACCCCGTCTCTAATGAAAATACAAAAAAATTAGCCGGCCTTGGTGGCAGGTGCCTGGGATCCCAGCTACTCGGGAGGCTGAGGCAGGAGAATTGCTTGAACCCGGGAGGCAGACGTTACAGTGAGCTGAGATTGCGCCACTGTACTCCAGCCGGGGCAAAGCTTGGGAGACAGCAAGACTCTGTCTCGGGGTGAGGGGAAGAAAAGAAAATGACAGAAGCGCTCGTCTCCGGGATGCAGGCTGGCTGGGGACCCTTTTGGCATCCCAGCTCAGGGCGCCCTCCTGAGCTGGCACAGGCCCAGGGTGAGAAGCGCTTGCTGTGGCAGTAACGGGTGAAGGTAGCAGCTAGTGGTGCTGCTGCAGGGCCCGGGGCAATGAGGCATAGTGGCAAATCTCATGAATTTCCAAGAGAGCCTGGAAATCCAGACTGCTGTGAGAACCGTGAGTCTCAGCAACACATTCCCACCTCCAAGCAGGCCCCGTGACCCAAGCCTGCCCAGCAGTGGCTGTGATCTGTCCTCTCGGCTAGAGAGAATCTGACGCTCCTGGAGATGGCAGGGGCAGTTTCGATAAGACCCATCCCTGCGGCCCACCTGGAACCTGGCACTGAGACCCCTGTGCTCCCAGAGGGGCCTGGCGTGGGCAGGCTGGGGCTGAGCAGATGCCTCCCCGGGCCACCTAAATGCCACATGGAGCTCCCACCCCACCTATGGCAAGCAGCGCTCAGAGGGGCCGCCACTCGCCCAGCTGGGACTGAGTCTTGCAGACGCCCAGGGCCAGCCCCCTATCTGCAGCCCACCCCATGGATCCTCCCACCTCCCAGTCCTGGTGCCCACGGGATCTACAATCTCCTGGGAGCTCCACAGATGCCCGAGGGCAGAGAGCAGACAGGGCGGCACAGACTCGCCTCTGTAAAGGGGGGATGGGTCCTACCATTGTCGGGGACAGCTGCTGGAAACCCACGGACCTGTGGGCTGGGACAGAGGGCGATGGGAGACAGCGGGAAAGATCTGCCAGGCACGTCCCTGGCCCCTACCCCTCTGAAGCTTGGAGAAGCTGCCGGCCCGGAAGCCCAGCGTCACTCACTCTGAGAACTCCCCGCAGATCCAGGCAGCAGCGTAGAGCACCTCGCAGATCCCGTTCCGCTGGGTGCTGCTGGCCAGCAGGTGTGCGCTGTCGAGCAGCGCGGACATCTGGGAGACGGCGAACTTGCGGATGGCCTTCACACGGATGGCCACGTCCAGCATCTGGGCAGCGATGAGGTGGCCGTGCCGCGTGCCCTCCAGCCGGGTCAGCTCCACCAGGATGCTGATGTACCTGCGGGCAGAGGGGGTGAGTGAGCAGCAGCGCAGAACCCCCAGCCGCGCCCCTGGGAGCGGGACGCACCACTCGAAGTTGGTGATGTACTGGTAGTTGGACTGGCTGCAGATGTCGATGATCTTGGTGAGCAGCTCGTCTCGGTAGGTGGTGCCCTCTGCCTTGTCCACGTGGGTCATCAGCTTCTTCACGATCTCCATCAGGTTCTTCTTGGACACCTGGGCAAGAGCGTAGGGACAGTGGTGAGGGTGGACCCGGCCTGGGGCCTGCTTGGTGAGACACCCAACACCTGCTTCTGAGACAGAATCTACGGGACACAGGCGGACCCAGATTCACAGATCGACCCCAGGGAGGCAGCAGGCCCCTGCGACATGGGCTGGGTTAGAGGCACTCAGCCCCCAGCCAGGGAGCAACAACTGGCCCAGCACGGTCTGTTCTATGGGCTTGGCCCCGCCCCCTCCACACACGCCCTCAAAGACACTCGTGGGCTTGGCCCTGGCCCCGTGTCCACACAGGCCTTGGAAGACAGGCATGGATGAGGCTGGCGCCCCTCTGCCCTGCCCCACCACACTAGCTGATGGCCGAATGTGAGGGGACTCCATACGTTCCACGTGGCTCTGCACCTGACACTTAACGTCCCCGAGAGCACTAAGGCGGGCGGGCGGGCAGAGGGCACGCACCATCCCATAGAGCAGGTCGAGGGCCCGCAGCCGGATGGACTCGTCCTTGTCATCCAGGCACTGCAGGATGAGGTCCTTGTGGGACTGCACGGACTTAGGGTGGGTCTTCAGGATCTTGGACATGGCCAGCAGCCCCAGGTACTTCACTGCAGAGAGAGGCCAGAGCCAGGTCACTGGGATGGACATAGGCAGCAAGGTGCAGGCAGGGCCCAAGGCTCTCCGGGCCAAGTCTCCACCTCAGGAGGCTGCCTGGCCTTGGCAACCCGGGGGCGGACAGAGTGACACCCGCAGCTGGAGCCGGGGGCGGACAGAGTGACACCCCCAGCTGGAGCTCACACGAGGGATGTCGCCCCAGCAGAGCCCCCACACTGGGAGCCGGGGTGCAGGCTGCCCCATGCCGGCTCCCTCGGGAAGGCCTCCCCTACCTACTACCACGCTGTAGTAGCTGCTGTCGGCTTTCCTCTCCCACCCAGCCAGCACAGGGAAGAACGCAGAGAAGACTTTCCAGCAGCATCAGGCACCCTCAGCCCGGGGCAGGGTCTCACCCGTACCCAACACTCACTGTTCACCCGACTAGCCCAAACTAGCTCATGGAGAGCTAAGGGTGGCTGAGCATGAGGCACAGATGCCACAACCTAAACCAGGGACGCTCCAGCCACAGGGCACACAGCCGAACCCGTTCATACACTGCCATCTACGGCAGCTGTCAGGCCACAGGGCAGCACCGAGCAGAGACAGACAGCGTGAGGTCCACGGAGAAAACACAGCAGTCCCCACCTCGCCGCGGGGGATGGGCCCATGGCCCCCAGTGGAAGCCTGACATGGTGGGCAGTACTGAGACCCGCGTGTGGGTGTTCTTCCGACACATCTGTGCCTATGGCGAAGTTCAGTGTGTAAATTAGGCCCAGTAAGAGATAAACAACTAACAGCAACTAAGAACAGAACAATCATAAAACACACAGTCATGAGAGGTATGTCATCGTGGTCTCTCGGAATACCCGACTGTGCGGTCCTTGCCTATTTTTGGACTGTGATGGGGGTACCCAAAACCTTAACAGGGGCGACTCCACTATCTGGGCTGTTGCAGGCGAGTTTGCCAACTCCTACTCTGAACAAAAAGATCTGGCTTCAAAATGAGCGTCCAAAACACCACCCAGGTACCAGGTACCAGGCAGGGGCCATTAATTCTTTTTTTTTTTTTTTTTTTTTTTTTTGAGACGGAGTCTCGCTCTGCCGCCCAGGCTGGAGTGCAGTGGCCGGATCTCAGCTCACTGCAAGCTCCGCCTCCCGGGTTCACGCCATTCTCCTGCCTCAGCCTCCCGAGTAGCTGGGACTACAGGCGCCTGCCACCTCGCCCGGCTAGTTTTTTGTAGTTTTTAGTAGAGACGGGGTTTCACAGTGTCAGCCAAGATGGTCTCGATCTCCTGACCTCGTGGTCCACCCGTCTCGGCCTCCCAAAGTGCTGGGATTACAGGCTTCAGCCACCGCGCCCGGCAGGGGCCATTAATTCTAATTCCTCAGCAGAGCAGCACAGGGGCACCCACACACGGGCAGGCACTTAGGCAAGGGCGCTGTACGCTGCTCCATCTCACAACACAAAGCCTCAGCATCCCTGCAGAAACATGCAGAGGCTGAAATATCCAGAAATCTCGGACCAAGGTGCTCAGTGACTGGCATCTGTCCAACTGCCAGGGTCTCCCCAGTGGGGGTCACTGCCACGCCCCCTACATCCCTCCTGGGACTGGGGCTCAGCGGGAGCTGGTGTTTCCCAGCCTCCCCACACAGACAGGTCGGGGTGCAAAGGCGCCGCAGGGCAATGGCAGAGGGGTGCCTCTGAAGCAAGTGTCATACATCAGCGAGAGAGCTGGGGTCGCAGACGCCACGTCCACTTCCTCCTCACGCTGGGAGGACCCCTAACTTCACAGAGGGGGGGACACGCAAATGACAGCACTGGGGAGGGGACGACTCACAGTTCTGATCGGAGTCCTCGATCAATATCCTTAATTTCTGAACACAAAGCTGAAAAAAAGAAAAAAACAAGGCTGGTTAATTCCTCTAAACCAAGGGTGAGTCCCAGGAGCCCTCCAGATTCAACCTTAACCTGGCCTAAAGACTGGGGTCAGCCCCACCCAGCAATCAGAGCCCAGGAGGGAAACAAGCAGGGCCCACATGGGGCACTGGGGACAAAGGAGGCCCTGCTTCCCACGGGCGCACTACCCCACTCCTCAGTGCCCCACGCGTCTACCCCACAGACACACAACGGGGAGCCCAAGCAGGCTCGGGCCGGTAGTGCACACGGGACGCGGCCATGCCCTCCCAAGCCCCAAGGATGGCGTGGGGGGGCCAGCACCTTGGTCACAGGGTGGGCAAGCTCCCGCCCGTGGAAAGGCGTGGCCTCCGCAGTGTGGGACCCCACGGGCCCTGCCCTGTGCGGGACGTACCTGGATGCTGGCGCTGTGGTTGGGCATGCCAGAGGACAGGGAGATGAGCACTGCAACAGACAACCTGGTCAGCACCGTGGTCAGCACCATGGCCAGTGCCGAAACTCACTCAGGGCCATGGGGCGCCAGCATCCCCTCCCGGGGAGCAGGGATGGGAGTAAGGACAGAAATGCCACTGGGTTTGGGACCGCGCATCCCAACTGTGTTTGCAAAAATCTAGCTCCACTGCAGGCCTGAGGTCAGGAACCTGCAGGGGCCCCCACCCTCACTGACAGGACAGCTCCCAGGCCTTAGCTGTTCCTGCAAACACTGTGGTTTACTTGCAACCCCTGCTTCCCTCTGGAGTCTGGAATCCTGGCCCCGAGGCCACAGGACCAGACCCTGTAGGAACCCAGGCACTGGGTCTCTGGGAGCCTCCATGGTGACACTTCACGAACGATCATCACAGCTCACTGCTGGGGGATGAAGTACATCCTGTAGGACTTTACTGAAAGAAGGCTCTAGAAGCTGGGCCTGGCCTCCCCAACATCCCCTGAGCTGTTCCCCTTTGCTGACTCTGCTGTGTCCTTTGGGCAGGGATAGGCAGGCAGCGAGAAGCTGACCATCAGAGCCCTGGTTCTAACAGCTTTAAAAGAAACACATGCAGCCAAGGAACCGCCAGGCACATGCAGGAACAGAGACTTGTTTTCCAACAAGCCAGTGGCATGGAATGCAGGCATACAGGGGAGTGTGAGTGTGTGTGTGTGTGTGTGTGAGACTGTGTGTGTGTCTGTGTGTGTTTTTCTTTTTAAGACGTGGGTTCTTCGAAGCTAAGCTATGAGGACGCAAAAGCATAACAATGATCTAGGCCAGGCACAGTGGCTCACGCCTGTAATCCCAGCATTTTGGGAGGCTGAGGCAGGCAGATCACCTGAGGGCAGGAGTTCGAGACCAGCCTGGCCAACATGGAGAAACCCAGTCTCTACTAAAAATACAAAAATAAGCCGGAAGTGGTGGTGCGTGCCTGTAATCCCAGCTACTTGGGAGGCTGAGGCAGGAGAATCACTTGAAACCTGGGAGGTGGAGGTTGCGGTGAGCCGAGACTGTGCCACTGCACTCCAGCCTGGGCAATAAAAGAGAAACTCTGCAACTGCCCCCCCGCACCCCCGAAAAAAAGAATGATCTAATGGACTCCAGGGACTTGGGGGAAGGGTTGGGGTGAGTGATAAAAGACCGCACATTGGGCCGGGCGCGGTGGCTCACGCCTGTAATCCCAGCACTTTGGGAGGCCGAGGCGGGCGGATCACAAGGTCAGGAGATCGAGACCACGGTGAAACCCCGTCTCTACTAAAAATACAAAAAATTAGCCGGGCGCGGTGGCGGGTGCCTATAGTCCCAGCTACTCAGGAGGCTGAGGCAGGAGAATGGCGTAAACCCAGGAGGCGGAGCTTGCAGTGAGCCAAGATCGCGCCACTGCACTCCAGCCTGGGCGACAGAGCGAGACTCCGTCTCAAAAAAAAACAAAAACAAAAACAAAAACAAAACAAAACAAAAAAAGACCGCACATTGGGTGCGGTGTACACCGCTTGGTGTTACTGCACATAAATCTCAGAAATCACCACTAAAGAACTGATCCCTATAACCAAATACCACCTGTTCCCCAAAAACTATTGAAATAATTTTTTTAATACAAAAAATATGAACATCTGGACATGAATAACCCTGGGTGGAAAATGTACATATAAATGTAAATATGAATGAAGAAATGTGGCAAAATAAATGCATATTCACGCATGCAAGATTTCAGAAATGCCACACCCAATCTTTGTAGGAATGGTTTTGTTTTGTTTTTTGAGAAGGCATTTCGCTCTTGTTGCCCAGGCTGGAGCGCAATGGCGCAATGTCAGCTCACTGCAACCTCCGCCTCCTGGGTTCAAGCGATTCTCCTGCCTCAGCCTCCTGAGTAGCTGGGATTACAGGCGCCTGACACCACCCCTAGCTAACTTTTGTATTTTTTAGGTACAGACGGGGTTTCACCATTGTTGCCAGGCTGGTCTTGAACTCTTGACCTCAGGTGATCCACCTCCCTCGGCCTCCCAAAGTGCTGGGATTACAGGCGTGAGCCATCACACCCGGCCAGGAGCGTTATTTGAATATAAAAGTAGATGGTAATTTTTTTTGTCTTAAAACAGGTATACAGATTATCCAGGTAGGAACAAATTTATTTTAAAAAGAAATGTAGGCTGGGTGCAGTGGCTCATGCCCGTATTCCCAGCACTTTGGGAGGTCAAGGCGGTGGATTACCTGAGGTCAGGAATTCAAGACCAGCCTGGCCAACATGGTGAAACCCCATCTCTACTAAAATTACAAAAATTAGCCAGGCGTGGTGGTGCGTGCTTGTAATCCCAGCTACTCGGGAGGCTGAGGCAGGAGAACTGCTTGAATCTGGGAGACGGAGGTTGCAGTGAGTGGAGACTGCGTCACTGGATTCCAGCCTGGGCAACAGTGTGAGACTCTCAAAAAAAAAAAAAAGAGGGTCGGGCACGGTGGCTCATTCCTGTAATCCCAGCACTTTGAGAGGCCAAGGCAAGCAGACCATGAGGTCAGGAGTTCGAGACTAGCCTGACCAACATGGTGAAACTCTGTCTCGACTAAAAATATAAAACTTAGCCAGGCATGGTGGCGCGTGCTACTCAGGAGGCTGAGGCAGGATAATTGCTTGAACCCGGGAGGCAGAGGTTGCAGTAAGCTGAGGTCGTGCCATTGCACTCCAGCCTGGGTGACAGAGCGAGACTCCATCTCAAAAATAAAAAAAAAAAGGAAAGAAAAAAAAACAAATGTAGATGTGTTAATTATCTGAATTGTGCTAACTTTTTCACAATCAAGTGGTGTACCTTAAAAATATACCATTTTAAGGAGCCGGGAGCGATGGCTCAAGCCTGTAATCCCAACACTTTGGGAGGCTGGGGCAGGCGGATCACAAGGTCTGGAGATCAAGACCATCCTGGCTAACATGGTGAAACGCCATCTGTACTAAAAATACAAAAAAAAATTAGCCGGGCGTGGTGGCGGGCGCCTGTAGTCCCAGCTAATCGGGAGAGTGAGGCAGGAGAATGGCGTGAACTCGGGAGGCGGTGCTTGCAGTGAGCCGAGATTGCACCACTGCACTCCAGCCTGGGCGACAGAGCAAGACTCTGTCTCAAAAAAAAAAAAAAAAAAAAAAATTAAATAGTCAACTATACCTAAGTAAAGCTAGAAAAAAACAAAAAACAAACGAGATGAGGTGCTGGCTGAGTGCAGTATCTGAGGCCTGTAATCCCATCACTTTGAGAGGCCAAGGCAGGAGGATGGCTTGAGCCCAGGAGTTCAAGACCAGCCTGGGCAACACAGTGAGACCCTGTCTCCACCAAAAATTCAAAAAATGACCTGGGTGGGGTGGCATGCACCTGTAGAGGCAAGAGGACCGCTTAAACCCGGGAGGTCAAGGCTGCAGTGAGCTATGATTGCACCACTGCACACCAGCCTCAAGAGAGGCGGGGTCTGGCTCTGTCTGTAGCCTGGAACTCCCGGGCTCAAGTGATGCTCTTGCCTTGGCCTCCTGAATAGCTGGGCCCTCATACCTGGCGAGAAGCTTCTGCTTTATCAACCATAAGGAAGTGCACCGCCCAATGCCCCTCAGGCTTTGGCCGACTTGGAGGAGCCCGGCTGAGACCACCGGGGACACGGGGCGTTGGCCCTGGTGCCCTGGCCCGGCCGGAGGCGTGGGTTCTGACTCTGCCTTAGAAAATATTTTTGTGGTAGATGCTGCTGCTTAAGTACCCACGGGTGAAACAACGTGCTGTCTCAGGAGTGCTTAAAAGTCCCAGAAAAAATGCAGCTTTGTGTGCGAGCTGCTGGGAGGCCCTGAGCATCTGTGGAAGCAGGGAGGAGGAGAGGCTTCTTCTGCAAATGCATCTTTCACACCCAAGGGGACTCCAGAGTGGCTGGGCTACCGAGCAGCTGAAGCAGCAAACTCCCAGCACCAAGGGCGGCGGAGGACCAGGCAGGTGCGTGGCCACCTCGAGAGCAGAGGCTTGGGGCGGCCTCCCAGCCAGCTTTCCTTCTCAGCGCCAGCAGGGGTGGCGCTCGGGGACACTCCCAGCCAGCTTTCCTTCGCAGCGCCAGCACGGGTGGCGCTCGGGGACACTCCCAGCCAGCTTTCCTTCGCAGCACCAGTACAGGTGGCGCTCGGGGACACTCCCAGCCAGCTTTCCTTCGCAGCACCAGCACAGGTGGCGCTCGGGGACACTCCCAGCCAGCTTTCCTTCGCAGCACCAGCACGGGTGGTGCTCGGGGACACTCCCAGCCAGCTTTCCTTCGCAGCACCAGCACGGGTGGCGCTCGGGGACACCAGACCTGGTGCCCTCCTGTCCCCACCCGAGACCCCAGCCTGACAGTGCCAGACCTTCCAGATGGGGAGAGTGCCAGTTCTCACCTGCAATCACGGTGTTCACACATTCGTAGAGGAGGGACATGGCAGACGTGCTAAGGAAAGGAACACAGGGAAGCGGCATGAGGACTGGGGGCCTCATCAGACACGGTGACCCAATGCCAGCGGCTCAGCTGGAGACGGCCTCAGCCCCACAGCCCAGGGAGCGAGCCCCCAGGAAGGAGCCCACGCCCTGCTCTCCAAGGCCTATGGTGCTTGGCTGCTCATAATCTCACCTTCCCAGAAAGGGCATGTGAGAAATCCCACTGCAGCTGCGGGCCCATGACAGCATCCGGGCAGGGACAGACCATGCACCCCCGGCGGCCCATGAGCCCATGAACCCGTGAGATGGCAATACCACCTTCCTACTGCATCCTTACTAGGGTTTTTGTTTGTTTTGTTTTTGAGATGGAGTCTCGCTCTGTCGTCCAGGCTGGAGTGCAGTGGAACGATCTTGGCTCACTGCAAGCTCTGCCTCCTGGGTTCACGCCATTCTCCCGCCTTAGCCTCCCGAGTAGATGGGACTACAGGCACCCACCACCACGCCCAGCTAACTTTGTTTTAGTATTTTTAGTGGAGACAGGGTTTCACTGTGTTAGCCAGGATGGTCTCGATCTCCTGACCTCATGATCCACCCGCCTCGGCCTCCCAAAGTGCTGGGATTACAGGCATGAGTCGCTGTGCCCAGCCTTTTTTTCTTTTTTTTTTGAAATGGAGTCTCACTCTGTTGCCCAGGTTGGAGTGCACTGCTGTGATCTCGGCTCACTGCAACCTCCGTCTCTCGGGTTCAAGCGATTCTCCTGCCTCAGCCTCCCGTGCAGCTGGATTACAGGCATGTACCAGCACACCTGGCTAATTTTTGTATCTTTTAGGTAGAGACGGGGTTTCACCATGTTGCCTAGACTGGTCTTGAACTCCCGACCTCAAGTGATCTACTCGCCTCGGCCTCCCAAAGTGCTGGGATTACAGGCGTGAGCCACAGCTCCCAGCCCTTTTCTCTGTTTCGACGTGTTCACACACAGATACTCGCCACAGAGTTGCAGCTGCGTACAGCTTTACAGTTGCCTGTGGGGCAGGGCCGCGGCCCAGGAGACGTCCGTGCCACGTAGCCTAGCAATGTGGTGAGCTTCACCAGCAAGGTGCGTGTGAGCGCACGCTACGCCGTTCACACGGTGAATCATCCTAATGACATCCTTCTGTGAACGTGTCCTTGTTGCTAAGTAACACATGACCGCATCTGAAAGTCACGGCGATGACGACTCTGCCTGTGGCCCACTCCACCCTCCCCTTCCCTGCAGTGGGGGCTGGGGGTGGTCCTGGCTCCTCCTCAGCACTTGGCCTGAGGAATTAAAGTGTCCTCTTCTAGCAACCAAAGGCAGCCTGGCCTGAAAAGGCTCCTGACATACGGTCCCATTTCACAACCTTTCAGTGCTGAGACCCGTGAGGAAAACCCGAACGCCGCAAATGTCTCTACAGCATGGAGAAGAGTCCAGTGGCCAGGAACGCCACCACAGGCTTCCACTCTAGGACAGAGTCTGCTGAACATAACAGCCTTCCATCTTTCAGCTGCTTCACGCCCAACTCCTGCTGTACCCCGCTGGGGCCGGGCTGCCAGCTGCTCCAGCACTGGACCCCATGGAGCCAGCCCACCCCACCGCTCCCGCAATGGACCCCGTGGAGCTGGCCCACCCCTGCCACTCCGACACTGGACCCTGTGGAGCCCGCCCGCCCCGCCGCTCCGACACTGGACCCTGTGGAGCCCGCCCGCCCCGCCGCTCCGACACTGGACCCTGTGGAGCCCGCCCGCCCTGCCGCTCCGACACTGGACCCGCCCGCCCTGCCGCGCATGGTCTCCACTCACCTGTGGATGAGGTTGGTGAGGGGCTCGATGAGCTTCTTGCCCAGCCGAGGCTCCAAAGGAGTCAGAGCACCAAACTGCGGGGACAGCAGGGCCTCAGTCTCCCGCAGGGAATGCACCATGCAGGGTGAGGAGGCCGCATCCCTGGGCAGTACTTGCCAGCTTGATGATCTTGATGAGGACCCAGTTGTTGGTGGAGGACGTCATCAGCTTGAAGAAGAGCGGGGCCAGGGACAGGTAGTTCTTAGGGTTACGTCTGGCCAGCTCGCAGATGACGTTGACGGCAGCAGACTGAACCCCTGGGGAACAAGCGGTCCTCATGAGCATGCCTGCCCTTCTGCTTAGAAAACCATCCTCCTGTCTTCCTGGTCTGCGAGGAAGTTCTGGGGCCTGCGGCAGCTCTCACTCAACATGGCCCTGGCTCTGCCACCTCCTCCTGGTGACAGGGATAGCAGCTACAGGCCTGTTCCTCCAGGGAACAGGCCACAGCAGCCAGCTCCCGGCGCTGAGAAAGCATTGCTCAGCACTGTTGCCAGGCACAAGTGCGCCCGAGCATCACCATGCTCAGGACAGCCTGACAGTGGCCTTCTGAGTGGGGGTTTCGGCAAGAAGGGCTCCAGAAACAGCTGCCCAGCCATCGGGGCTCAGGGAGCCTTCCTGCTGCGCCTGTGGCCAGCACTCCAGGGAGAAGCTCGCCCATCGGGTCCCATGCTTAGAGCTGGGGTCTCCCCTCCTACACGCAGGGCCTCGGGATTCCTGTGGGCTGGCTTTGGAGTCCACCAAACCACGCCTGCCACACGCCAGAGGCTTCCCACACGCAGCCCAGGGAAACTCAGTGAAACTGAATTTGAAGCCATGTCCCACAGTCACCACGTCACAAATACACAACAGTCACGTGAGGTGGAGGCAGCTCCTGTGAGGGACATATGGTCTAGATCATCCCCTGCCCTGCGGAAGGCGCCCCGTGGCAGCGCTGGTCCTACGACGGGCCGGCGGGGTGGGGCGTACACCTCTGCTCAGGGATACACCAGGCTCACCAGCTGCCACATGAGATCTTACTGCCCCCACCTCCAGCACCTCCCTCCCGGCTGCCCCAGCGAGGGGAGGCCCAGCCACCTCCAGCCGGCATGCTCCTGGACGGAGCCCTCCACTGCTCCCCACAGCACCCCCCAAAACACACCACCACATCTTCCCAGGGTACCGGCTGAACCCCCACCCCCAAGCCTGAAGTTTAACTGAAATCCACAAACCAGGGTCGGGGTCCTCCAGCTTCTCCTTCAGCCGGGGAAAGGCGGGGCGCAGCGACTCAGGGTACTTCAGGAACACCTTGTACATGATCAGCACGGCCTTCTTCCTGATGTAGGGCTTGGTGTGCGACATCTGCGGGGCAGCGGGTTTCAGCCTACACAGGTTTTCTGCGCCTCATCCCTGCTCACGCCTCTCCCCGTCACCCTCCTCCACAGGGAGAAGACGTCCTCCAGCCCGAGGCTGCGGCTGCACACCAGCCCCAGAGGCCAGAGAGCAGCATCTTAGATGGCACGGACGCCGGCCTCCCTGTGCCCCGACTCAGGCCTGCCCTCCAGACTGAGCCCTTCTCCTGAGTGGCCTCCTGCCCCAGGGTCCTGGGTCCCACAGTGGGAGGAGGAAGGCTGGACAGGAAAGTCATGCTGGGAACACAGCCTACAGCCCAGCTCCCCACGGCTGTGCCCTGCAGCTGCTCAAGTTCCCCGGCAGGAGCCCTCCCATCTATCAGGCCCAGGGAGCTGCCCTGAACTGCCTGGGCCTGACAGAGCCACCCCATGATGGGGCGCTGACATCCGCCCGCTCACGGGCTCCCCACTGCTTTACTGTAGAGGAGCCGGCACTCTGTGAAGGCCAGAGTCAGTGTTTTCAGCTTCGTGGGCCAGACGGCCTCTGTCGTGACCACGCGGCTGTGCCCTTCATAGCCAAGGCCACTGGAGACGACATGACACATGGAAAGAAGGCGCAGCCGGCTGGATTTGGCCCTGGGCCGCAGCCCGCTGATCCCTGATCTAGAAGCTCAGCAGGCTGTGCTGACAATCTCCAAGACCATCAGCCACAATGTAGACACTGCCGGGCAGAGAGGCAGCCACGCGGGGACAGCACCCATCAGCCACGATCTAGACACCTCCGGGCCGACAGGCAGCCACGCGGGGACAGCACCCATCAGCCACGACCTAGACACCTCCGGGCCGACAGGCAGCCACGCGGGGACAGCACCCATCAGCCACGATCTAGACACCTCCGGGCCGACAGGCAGCCACGCGGGGACAGCACCCATCAGCCACGATCTAGACACCTCCGGGCCGACAGGCAGCCACGCGGGGACAGCACCCATCAGCCACGATCTAGACACCTCCGGGCCGACAGGCAGCCACGTGGGGACAGCACCCATCAGCCACGATCTAGACTACACTGCTGGGCAGAGAGGCAGCCACGCGGGGACAGCGCCCATCAGCCACGATCTAGACACCTCCGGGAGGACAGGCAGCCACGCAGGGACAGCACCCATTGGATAAGATTTAAACACCTCCAGGAGGACAGGCAGCAATGCAGGGACAGCGCCCATCAGCCACGATCTAGACACCTCCGGGAGGACAGGCAGCCATGAAGGGACAGCGCTTCCCAGGGAGGAAACCACGCCCTTCCACACTGTTAATCTGGCTGCTGTTTTTTAAATGAAAAGGAACAAAGGTCTCCCTCATGAGCTGGAGATTAAGTCAGGCACAAAACAGATGTTTCTGTTTGGACCCTGGGGCCAAAATTTCCAAGGGCTTCTCAGATTTTAGACTGTCACAGCCGGGGATGTAGCCTTTGACAAGCGGAGTAGCAGGGAGGAGTCCAGCTGCGGTCCGTGATGGAGGAAAGAGGACCACACAGAAGCCCACTGGCAGCTCAGACAGGAGCCACTGTCAGACCTTGGGGCAAACATCCCCCACCGGGCCTGGCCCATCAGGGAGACCCTGCTCCTCTTCTTGGCAGGATGATTTCAAACATAAACTCAAGACACGCAGGAATCAAAGCAGCCCAAGAGCTGCCCCACCAGCTGACAGTGATTTGGTTCCCATCTCAGGTAGGCCACACACCAGGGACCCCGGCCAGTTTCCGTACGGCCAAGCTTCCCTGGCATGCCACTTTGACCACGTTTTTCCCCGAGCAGACGTGCAGGGTGGTGGGCAAGCTTACAAACTCACCAGTGTCATGATGTCATTTGCCAGGTCTCTGGCAAGGTCTGGGGTGACGAAGCAGGACAGACCCGTCAGTGCAACGCCTGTGTCGTACTGGCTAGGGCTGCTCAGGTCCTGGAAAGCGACAGAGAAAGGGCCATGGCCAGGATGCCCTGGGTGGCACGTCCGACGCCTGGGTCGCCAGGAGCAGCAGGAGCAAAATCCTCCCAGGACGCCCCAGGACTCGGCATATCCCCTTGGGGGACTCGGCATATCCCCTTGGGGTGCAGCTGTGCCTTATCACCCCTGCTGCAGAGGGGTCTGGAGCTGAACTCAGACAAGGAGGAACAATTTAGAGCCCATGGAAGACACTGTCACCAAGAAAGGAGCCGGGATGGGCACGGCTGGGGACACTGAGGTGTGAGGCACAGCCTGGAGGGCTGTGTGTGTGGCAATCAGCTGAGTTCCTTGGCTCCTCCTGGGTGGGCATGCCGGGCAACAGTGAGGTCTGAGGCACAGGCTGAAACACTCTGTGGGCGGGAATCAACTAAGTTTCTTGGCTCCTCCTGGATGGGCAGGGCTGGGGACAGGGAGGTCTAAGCCACAAACTGAAGCACTCTGTGTGGGAATCAATCGAGTTTCCTGGCACCTCCTGGGACAGAGGCACTTGTCACAAGTCACTGCAAGTGTGGGGAAGGGCCACCACGGGTGCAAGAGCAGAGCCAGGCCTAAAACCAGGGCTGCCCCCACCCATCACTGGCAGCTCCCAGTCCACAGAGACGGTGCTGCTGGGCCTGGCACGGAACAGGCGGAAGACGCGCCCCGCAGGATGGGGTCCTCGGACAGCCTGCTTCCATTTGGGGTCCCTTTCCCCAACAACTGAGGGGAAAGGCCCAGGAACAGCTCCCGTGGGCCCCTCTCCAACTTCAGCTGGCAGCTGCCCCCGCGCTCCCCTGGACTCTGCCCCAGCTCTTCACTCCCGCAGTTCTCACTAAAACACGGCATCCCCCCCGGCTCCTATCTCAGCACTCGGGGAAACAAACCTTCTCTTGATATCACAAACCTGCTCTCGGGGAGAGATTTTCTTGAGGAAACTCCCAAGACTCCACCTACATATGCACCTATCAAGATCCGTTTTCAGGGTTACCATTCTGTGGTCAAAATATGACAAGGCCAGCTTTTTTTTCTTCAGACGCGTCTCACTCTGTCCCCCAGGCTGGAGTGCAGTGGTGTGATCTCAGTTCACTGTAACCTCTGCCTCCCAAGTTCAAACAATTCTCTGCCTCAGCCTCCCAAGCAGCTGGGATTACAGGCCACATCACCACGCCCGGCTAATTTTTGTATTTTTAGTAGAGATGGGGCCAACTGGTTCCTTTGAAATGACACAGTGGCCGTGCACCGTGGTTCACGCTTGTAATCCCAGCACTTTGGGAGTCCGAGGTGGGCAGATCACGAGGTCAGGAGATCAAGACCATCCTGGCCAACATGGTGAAACCCCGTCTCTACTAAAATACAAAAAATTAGCCAGACATGGTGGTGCACACCTGTAGTCCCAGCTACTTGGGAGGCTGATGCAGGAGAATTGCTTGTACCAGGGAGGCAGAGGTTGCAGTGAGCCGACATTGTGCCACTGCACTCCAGCCTGGCAACAGAGCAAGACTCCGTCTCAAAAAATAAATAAATAAACAAAATAAAATAAAGTAACACAGTGAGTTGGAAGCGGTGGCACACACCTCTAATCCTACCACTTTGGAAGGCCGAAGCAGGAGGATCACTTGAGCCCAGGGGTTCAAGATCAGCCTAGGAAACATAGTGAAACCCTCCCTGCCTCTACAAAAAATACAAAAAAATCATCTGGGCATCGTGGTGCATGCCTGTAGTCCCAGCTACTCAGGAGGCTAAGGTGGGGAGATCGCTTGAGCCTAGGAGGTCGAGGCTGCAGTGAGCTGCAATCGCGCCACTGCTCTCCAGTCTGGGTGACAGAGCAAAACCCTGTCTCAAAAAAAAAAAAAAAAAAAAAGGTAAGAAAATAATGTTTTGTTTTGTTTTTTTGAGACGGAGTCTCACTCTGTCACCCAGGCTGGAGTGCAATGGGGCGATCTCGGCTCACCACAACCTTCACCTCCCGGGTTCAAGCGATTCTCCTGCCTCAGCCTCCTGAGTAGCTGGGATTACAGGCATGCACCACCATGCCCGGCTAATTTTGTATTTTTAGTAGAGACTGGGTTTCACCACGTTGGTCAGGCTGGTCTCAAACTCCCAACCTCAGATGATCCACCTGCCTTGGCCTCCCAAAGTGCTGGGATTACAGGCGTGAGCCACCACACCAGCCCAGAAAATAATTTTTTAAATTACAAAACAAGCCAGGAGGCTGGGCGCGGTGGCTCAAGCCTGTAATCCCAGCACTTTGGGAGGCTGAGACGGGCGGATCACGAGGTCAGGAGATCGAGACCATCCTGGCTAACACGGTGAAACCCCGTCTCTACTAAAAAATACAAAAAAACTAGCCGGGCGAGGTGGCGGGCGCCTGTAGTCCCAGCTACTCAGGAGGCTGAGGCAGGAGAATGGCGTAAACCCGGGAGGCGGAGCTTGCAGTGAGCTGAGATCCGGTCACTGCACTCCAGCCCGGGCGACAGAGCAAAACTCTGTCTCAAAGAAAACAAAACAAAACAAAACAAAAAAAAACAAGCCAGGCACAGTCGCTCACATCTGTAATCCCAGCACTTTGGGAGGCCACGGCGGGTGGATCACGAGGTCAGGAGATCGAGACATCCTGGCTAGCACGGTGAAACTCCGTCTCTACTAAAAATACAAAATATTAGCCAGGCATGGTGGTGGGTGCCTGTAGTCCCAGCTACTCAGGAGGCTGAGGCAGGAGAATGGCGTGAACCTGGGAGGCGGAGCTTGCAGTGAGCCGAGATTGTGCCACTGCACTCCAGCCTGGGCGACAGAGCAAGACTCCATCTCAAACAAACAAACAAAAGAAATGAGGGCCGGGTGCAGTGGCTCACACCTGTAATCCCAGCACTTTGGGAGGCCGAGGTGGGTGGATCACTTGAGGTCGGGAGTTCGAGAGCAGCCTGGCCAACATGGTGAAACCCCATCTCTACTAAAAACACAAAAAAATTAGCCAGGTGTGGTGGTGCACCCCTGTAATCCCAGCTACTTGGGAGGCTAAGGCAGGAGAATCGCTTGAACCCGGGAAGTGGAGGTTGTGGTGAGCTGAGATCGCCCCACTGCACTCCACCCTGGGTGACAAAGACTCCATCTCAAAAACAAAACAAAAAACAAACAAACAAAAAACAAGGGCAGCTGTAATTCCAGCTACTCGGGAGGCTGAGGCAGTAGAATTGCTTGAACCCAGGAGTCGGAAGTTGCGGTGAGCCGACATCACGCCACTACTCTCCAGCCTGGGCAACAGAGCAAGACTCAGTCTCAAAACAAAACAAATAAACAAAAATGACACAGTGGACTGCAAACATCGGGAGCGTGTGATCCTACACAGAGGAAGCAGGTGCTAACTTCCTGAGCCGGAGCCCCACAGGCACCACCTGCATCCGAGGCCAGCCAGTGGCAGGCACCGGGTCAGAGCCACGCCCAACACACGGGGCCTAACAGCTCCAAGCACCTGGCAAGGCAGTGGTGGATGTAAGTCCCCAGTGAGGTGCTCACACAGGGATCTGGCCATCCGAGCCCATCAGCAAGAGACACAAACCTGGGCCCGACATGTGGCCCTCCTTGCTGGGCAGCTGCCACCTGGGTATCAGGGCGGCCGGAGACCTCCATCCTCCTCCCTCCCAGTTACCACCTGCAAAACCGCTCCCATCCTCCTCTCAGTGGGCCAGACTCCCACCCAGGCCCCTCCTGCTAGGCACTCCAGCCACCCTCATGGCCACAACCCGAGACCCCACGGCATCGAGGGCACATGTCGTCCGCAGCCCAGGCGGGATGCCCAGCTCCATAATCTTGCCCACAACAGTGAGCCCAGTAGAGCCAACAGTCCCGGGACCTGCACCACACCCTGTGCCGGGCACCAGTCACCGCCAGTACCCCCACACCTGTGCCTCGGCAGGCTGGGAGTCCCTGGCCCAGGTCGCCAGGTCACCCTGTGGGGTCAACAACACAGTCACAGGGTCCTGCCCTTGCACATGGACATTGGAGAGCCGGGGCCATGGCCTCTGAGGTGAGGTCTAGGGCCAGAAAGGGGCCAGGTGCCCATGAGAAGGGTGGGCCTGATTCTCCAACACCCCAACCCCTCCATCGAGAGGCAGGAACCAAACGTGTTCAGAGCTCAGGGGCCAAGGAGGACCTCTGCTACCCAATGGCCTCCGTGACCATTTCAAAATGCAACATTTACATGGTGCTGAAAAATGCACCTCGTGGGACTCAAAAGAAACCGCGGGCAGGAAGCACCCCACATGGGGACGAAGGGCGCACAGCTACAGCAGGCACTACCATACGGGGAGAAGGGAAGAAAGGGGGCGACTGCAGAGGCCAGCCTCGAGTGGGCCCTGGAGCCCCATTTGCCGGCCCCTCCATGTGGTGAGCGAGGGAAGGGGGCACCGCACCGCTCAGCATCCCTCCACCTCACAAGCCCACCAGGGAGTGCAGACTCAGACCCGCCGGGCCACCTCTCCGTGTATGCTGGGAAGACAGTGGCTGCAGAAGCCCTGCTCGCACTCCAGGGTGCCACAGGTGCCTGCTGCCCACAGGAAGACCAGCGTGGAAACCAGATGCTCTGGCAGCGGACAGGCTGCACTCAGCACAGAGCGGCCTGGGCCGGGGACCTACCTTACGGATCTGATTGGTGGTCAGCATGATGACGTCGGTGCCTTCGTGAAAGCTCTGGGAAGCAGCGAGGTAGCCGATTCGCTGGGAGAGAACAGACGAGCACATCAGAGGCCGGGCACCTGCAGCCTTCAGGAGCGCCCAGCTTTGCTCTGCAGCGTCCGCACCAGGCAACGCAGGTCCAGAAGCAACGCCCCGCAGCCTGGACGCGGGGGCCACCAGCAAGTGGGAACCAACCCGCATTTGAAAACCAACCCAGATTTCTTCAAAATTCCAGAAGGAAATTCCCAGAGTTTGGAATATGTATGAGTTTTTTTTTCTTGGAGACAAAGTCTCACTCTGTTGCCCAAGCTGGAGTGCAATGGCACGATCTCAGCTCACTGCAACTTCCACCTCCCCGGTTCAAGCAGTTCTCCTGTCTGAGCCTCCCAAGTAGCTGGGATTATAGCCGCGCGCCACCACACCCTGTTAATTTTTGTATTTTTAGTAGAGATGGGGTTTCACCATGTTGGCCAGCCTGGTCTCGAACTCCCAACCTCAGGTGATCTACCTGTTTCAGCCTCCCAAAGGGCTGGGATTATAGGCCACTGAATCCACCTTGGGTAACAGAGCAAGACTCCGTCTCAAGAATAATAATAATAAAAATTGGCCGGGCACGGTGCCTCACACCTGTAATCACTCCCCCCACCCCACCAGCCTCGCCGTCCCGGAACCTCACCTTGAAGGTGAACTTGGAAGCACTCATCACTTCTATGATGTTGAAGGCGGCCCAGCTGATGTCGTATCCCAACATCTGTAACTGTTAAGGGACGCACAGGAAATTGCACTCACAAGCCAAAGTGGAGACAAAGGGTTTGAGCCATAGCATGAAGCGCTCCCTCCCAGCACACGTAGCAGACTCACTCATGGTCGACAAACACCCAACACACACCCCTGAGGCCTTTCATTTCTTCTTTTGACAAACGACTCTGACATTTAAAAGCTACAGGGACAGGTTAGTGACAGGCACTAAAAAGAGGCTCAATGTCTGCAATTGGCTAACTGGCACTTATGGGTACTAACTACCACCCCTTGGCGAATCAGCTCCTTGAAATAGTTACGAGACGAGCAGCGGCAGGGCGGCCCCGGACGAGCCCTCCATCTCGCTACCTCCCACGGGAAAACAGGCCAGAGGGAGGCGCACCCGTCCCCCGCTCACACATTGACCTGGAACTGCAGCCAGGAAGGGAGCCAGCCCAGGAAGGTCCAGGGCCCCAGCTCTCCCCACTAGGCGTCCTGGTGCGGCCTGTGGTGGGAGCCGAGACTGCAGGCGAGGGGCGTCCTTAGTGAACACCACCCAGAAGAGGACCCCATGGGGCTCCCTCGGGGCTACCACCAGGGCCTGTGGGTTGCCACCCTCTGGCCTGTTTGCCAGTCATGTGACAATCACGGCTCTCCACTCCAGGACTCCGGGTTGGCCCTGAGGGGCTCACCGACAGCGGGTGGTACCAATGACTGACAGGCGGACAGACAGGCTGAGGAACAGGGGGACACGCGCTGAGTGGAGAAGCAGCCCGACAGTGCTGGGCACGGGCCACCGGGAGACACTTACATACGTCAGCTTGCAGACCGCGTTCGCCTTCACCGCGATGTTGTCCTGCTTCAGCTCCTGCTTGATCTCATCGATGCACTGAGAGATGTATTTTGCCTATAATGGGGGATAAACACAGAAATTACAAACATCTAGCTAAGATGGTTGGAATACTGATTCCAGGCCAGGAGCGGTGGCTCACACCTGTCATCCCAGCACTTTGGGAGTCCAAGGTGGGTAGATCACGAGGTCAGGAGTTCGAATCATCCTGGCCAACTTGGTGAAACCCCGTCTCTACTAAAAATACAAAAATTAGCTAGGCGTGGTGGCAGGCACCTGTAATCCCAGCTACTCAGGAGGCTGAGACAGGAGAATCATTTAAATCCAGGAGGCAGAGATTGTGATGACACCACTGCATTCTAGCCTAGGTGAGAGAGCCAGATTGTGTCAAAAAAAAAAAAAAAAAAAAAAGAAAGAAAGAAAGAAGCCAGACAGACACAAGAGAGCACACCATATGATCCATTTCTATGAAATGCCCAGATGAGGCCAATCCAGAGACAGAAACCGGATTTGTGGGTGCCAGAGGCTGGGGGAGGAAACGGGGAGGATTCGCTTTCTTTCTAGGCTGAGAATGTTTTGGAACTTGGCCGTGGTGGTGGCACATAGCATTCTGCTACACACGCCCCGCTGTTTGCCTACTCCTTGGTGGACGAACGTGTGGGGTCTTCCCACCTTCAGCCAGTGTGACCCTCGCTGCTGTGAACACCGTGCTCAGGTTTTGGGGGGATGTGTCTGGATCCCCCGGGCCTGCTCACTAACTGTGTGTGTCTCCAGAACACCATTAAGGATAGTTCTGACCCAAGCAAACTCAGGTACAAGGTCCAAATGGCAGATGAGGTTCCCAAGAGACAGGCAGGCGTGAGCCGCTCAACATGGATGGCACCAGAGACAAGCCAGGTCGACGCCATGCTGGCCCCAGAGACAACCCACCCCACCTGGGAGGAGAGAGAGGAGGGAACAGCAGAGGCTTGGAGCGCCTCCCTCAGTAGACGATGAGGCCCCCACGACAAGCCCTCCTAATGCACAGGAGCCCCTCTCCATCATCCGACAACAGACCAGGAGTGATGGCTCCCTGAGCCCCATCCTGCCAGCCCCTACGTCGGGATGCAATGTTCCTCCTGCTGTGCCCACCAGAGGCAAGGATGGCAAGCCCACCCTATCGCACTTCTGTCCCCAGCCCCACTGTAGCTGGCCTCAAAGCAGCCCCAGGAATACCCACCACTCATGTGTCACCCAGGACCACACCCCAAGCTCGGCTGCCAGCTACACCGAGTGGGGAAGGAGCCACAGCTGTGGGGGAGTGGGGGGCTGGGGGGAGCACAGACACACAATATTTTCCTGAATGTTTTATGATCCAACTCTGCACAATGGAACAAGTGTCACCCGATCCTCCAGACGCACTTTAAATTACTACACCTCGCCCCAGGACTGTGCTCCCATCCCCACAGCAAGGATAACTCACTCCTCCTGCTCAAAGGGTCAGGACTGTTGATGATTTATAAGGGAAAGAACAAAAAGACCATCACAGGTGTGGAGAGGTCAGACCCTCACAAGGGCAAGGGGGATGGGATGTCAGGCAGCGTGGCTGCCGTGGAAACCAGCCTGGGGTTCCTCCAAGGTTCCATGTGGAGTTACTGCCCCGGCAATTCCACTGCTGGGCGTGCACCCAAGGAGATGGAAAACAGGTGTCCAAACAAAAACAAGCACACGAACGCACATGGTAGCACCATTTATAGTGGCTTGAAACAGGAACAGCCATCACGCTCACGGCTGATGAATAATACACACAACGTGGTGGGTCTGCGCCAGTCAACTTGCTTGATTTTATGGATTTTTTTTGAGACAGGGTCCCACGCTGTCCCCCAGGCTGGAGTGCAGTGGGGAGATCACCGCTCACTGCAGCCTCCACACCCTAGACTTGAGTGATTCCCGTGCCCAGCCTTTCAAAGCACTGGGACCACAGGTGTCGCCACCACGCCCAGCCACTAGTCAGCTTTCTAGGAACTCGGCAGTGGGTCGCAACCCTGGGACTCCTTCCTGGCTTTTTAACTGCTGATAAAGTCCAAGTAGCTCCTCTCAGACCAAGCCTCACACAAACATTTTTTTTTTTTTTTAGACGGAGTCTTGCTCTGATACAGGCTGGAGTGCAGTGGCGCGATCTCGGCTCACTGCAACCTCCGCCTCCCGGGTTCAAGTGATTCTCATGCCTTAGCCTCCTGAGTAGCTGGGATTACAGGGGCACACCAGCACGCCAGCTAATTTTTGTATTTTTAGTAGAGACGGGGTTTCACCATGTTGGCCAGGCTGGTCTTGAACTCTTGACCTCAGATGATCTGCTCACCTCAGCCTCCCAAAGTGCTGGGACAACAGGCATGAGCCACCGCGCCCGGCCTGAAGAAAAAAATTTATTAGTCGGGGTATGGAGACATGATCTAGACCCAGAAGATTATATTATAAACATAGATTTAAATTATTTGAAGGTAGCCGGGTGCGGTGGCTCACGCCTGTAATCCCAGCACTTTGGGAGGCCGAGGCGGGTGGATCACGAGGTCAGGAGATTGAGACCATCCTGGCTAACACGGTGAAACCCTATCTCTACTAAAAATATTTTTTTTTTTTTTTTTTTTTTGAGACGGAGTCTCGCTCTGTCGCCCAGGCTGGAGTGCAGTGGCGCTATCTCGGCTCACTGCAAGCTCCGCCTCCCGGGTTCACGCCATTCTCCTGCCTCAGCCTCCCGAGTAGCTGGGACTACAGGCACCCACAACCGCGCCCGGCTAATTTTTTTTTGTATTTTTAGTAGAGACCGGGTTTCACCGTGGTCTCGATCTCCTGACCTCGTGATCCGCCCGCCTCGGCCTCCCAAAGTGCTGGGATTACAGGCGTGAGCCACCGCGCCCGGCCTAAAAATATTTTTAAAAAATTATCCAGGGCCAGGCGCGGTGGCTCAAGCCTGTAATCCCAGCACTTTGGGAGGCCGAGATGGGCGGATCACGAGGTCAGGAGATCGAGACCATGCTGGCTAACACGGTGAAACCCCATCTCTACTAAAAAATACAAAAAAAAAAAATTAGCCGGGCGAGGTGGCGGGCGCCTGTGGTCCCAGCTACTCCGGAGGCTGAGGCGGGAGAATGGCCTGAACCCAGGAGGCGGAGCTTGCAGTGAGCTGAGATCCGGCCACTGCACTCCAGCCTGGGCGACAGAGCAAGACTCTGTCTCAAAAAAATAAATAAATAAAATTAAAAAAAAATAAAAAATTATCCGGGCATGGTGGCATGCGCCTGTAGTCCCAGTTACTTTGGAGGCTGAGGCAAGAGAATGGCGTTATCCCAGGAGGCGGAGCTTGCAGTGAGCCGAGATCATGCCACTGCACTCCAGCCTGGGTGACAGACAAAGCAAGACTCCGTCTCAAAAAAAAAAAAAAATTATTTGAAGGTATAACGTGGCTATACATGACACTTTCTACAAAAACAAAGGGAAATTAGAGGAGCAACATGTGAAATTTCTCAAATACCTCAGCTAGTTCCGCACCAAATTCACACTTCACCACACAGCAAGTGAGATTCTAAAACACTGATGCTGGTTTCAGCACCTATTTAATTCTGGGATGTAATTTGGAACACAGCATGCGTATTTCCTTTATACACTAACTTCTCAGGACTACAGTAACACAGGCCATTTAAACCCTAGATACACAGGAGAACTCCCTGGGGTACCTTTTTTTTTTTAATCAAGTCTTGCTCTGTCACCAGGCTGGAGTGCAGTGGCGTGATCTTAGCTCACTGCAACCTCTGCCTCTCGGTTCAAATGATTCTCCTGCTTCAGCCTCCTGAGTGGCTGGGATTACAGGCGTGCACCACCACGCCCAGCTAATTTTTGCATTTTTAGCAGAGACAGGGTTTCTTTTTTTTCTTTCTTTTTTTTTTTTTTTGAGACGGAGTCTGGCTCTGTTGCCCAGGCGGGAGTGCAGTGGCCGGATCTCAGCTCACTGCAAGCTCCGCCTCCCGGGTTTACGCCATTCTCCTGCCTCAGCCTCCCGAGTAGCTGGGAGTACAGGCGCCCGCCACCTCGCCCGGCTAATTTTTTTGTATTTTAGTAGAGACAGGGTTTCACCGTGTTAGCCAGGATGGTCTCGATCTCCTCAACTCGTGATCCGCCCATCTCGGCCTCCCAAATTGCTGGGATTACAGGCTTGAGCCACTGCGCCCAGCCCCAGAGACAGGGTTTCACCATGTTGGCCAGGATGGTCTCAATCTCTTAACCTCATGATCTGCCTGTCTCGGCCTCCCAAAGTGCTGGGGTTACCGGCGTAAGCCACCACGCCCGGCCTTTTTTTTTTTTATTGAGACAGGGTCTTCCTCTATTGCACAGGCTAAAGTGCAGAGGCCTAATCACGGCTAACTGCAGCCTCAACTTCCCAGGCTCAAGAGATTCTCCCGCCTCAGCCTCCCGAGCAGCTGGGACTACAGGTGCATGCCCCCATATTAAACTAAGTTTTTTTTTTTTTTTTTTTTTTTGAGATGGAGTCTGGCTCTGTCACCCAGGCTGGAGTGCAGTGGCCGGATCTCAGCTCACTGCCTCCCGGGTTTACGCCATTCTCCTGCCTCAGCCTCCCGAGTAGCTGGGACTACAGGCACCTGCCAACTCGCCCGGCTAGTTTTTTGTATTTTTTAGTAGAGACGGGGTTTCACCGTGTTAGCCAGGATGGTCTCGATCTCCTGACCTCGTGATCCACCCGTCTCGGCCTCCCAAAGTGCTGGGATTACAGGCTTGAGCCACCGCGCCCGGCCATTAAACTAAGTTTTTAAATTACATATATATATATACACACACATATATATATATACACACACACACAATTTTTTTTTTTTGAGATGGAGTTTTGCTCTTGTCACCCATGCTGGAGTGCAGTGGTGTGATCTCAGCTCACTGCAACCTCCGCCTCCCAGGTTCAAGCAATTCTCCTGCCTTAGCCTTCCCAGTAGCTGGGATTACAGGCATGTACTACCACGCCAGGCTAATTTCTATTTTTTTTTTTTTTTTTTTTTTGAGACGGAGTC